TCTTTGGGCCGTTTGGGATCCTCTTGGGGGCCTCCTGGGGGCCTCTTGGAGCCATCTTGGGGCCTCTTGGTGCCTCCTGGGCGCTTCTTGGGGCCATCTTGGAGGAAATCGATCAAAGAAGAGGGGAGCTTTAATTAGCGCTGCCCCCGCAGAAGGCCAACATGGGGCCAAAACCTTAGTAACATCAGTGATTTCGGCTTGAAAGAAGAGGGGAGCTTTAATTAGCGCTGCCCCCTTAGAAGGCCAACATGGGGCCAAAACCGTAGTAAAATCAATGATTTTGGCTTCAAAGAAGAGGGGAGCACTTTTCTGCCTCCCCCCGTCGGGGCCAGAATCCTCGTGAGGGGTGTCGTTTTTTAGCCCTCCCAGGAGTCGAAAAAGACCCCTCCAACGACCCGCGAGGCGCCCTCTCCAGGCCCAGGGGGAGGGGGTAGGGGGAGGGGTAAACCCTTCCCCGAAGGGGAAGAAGGGGGGTTGAGAACAGAGAGAGCTCTCTAAACCACTCACGCCCAAAGGGTTGGTGGGATTGAAGCATCGTCGCGTGGAATTGGCACGCCCCTTCTGCCTCGGTCCACGCTCCTGTCCGTCCAGCCTAGCGCGCATTCAAAGCACTTGCTAAGCTCATGCCAGAACGTGATACAATATGGTTGTAGGAAACACCGATAGGAAGAGGACTTCCAGCATCTCGTTCAAGAAATAAGAAATACTTGGACCCCGCGTTTGGGGCCCTATCGTTGCGTCAGTTATCGCAGGCGGCGCGCGCACCTTCGTTCATCCTCGACTCCTCCAGGACTTCGACCGCATCATTCCTCGGGAGCTCATCCCTGGGCGTCTTCTCGAGGCCATGTATCGCGGGTCCAACGGCGCCCTGCAGGTCCTCAACCTCAACCTCGAACCCTCGTTCTCCATTGCCGCTGGACAGATGGTTTGAGACGTGTCCGTTCTTTCTTGCAGCCGGCCGCGAGGGTCGCGTCTCCTCTGCCGGGCGACTTCAATCTTCTCGCCGACGGTGAGACCAGGCAACAGCACGACTGCACGCATTCCACCGACACATCGTCTGGGAAGGCTTTCCAACGCTATTCCCAGCGATCGTATTGAAGTCGTTCAACCTATGCCTACGCATCGTGCTCTTATGGCATGGAGGGCGGGGGGGGCCGGATCTACCGGTCGGCTGGGCGGACTTTACACCAGCACGTTTTCGGGCCCGCTCGTGGATTCGTAACGCAAATCTTTGGTGCTTAGCGATGTCCTGAGCCTCGAGTTCCCGCCCGACCACGCCCCTCTGGTTCCGGTGTTTTCTGGGTTCCAGAAGTCCCCGGAGCCGCCGCGCATATTCAATCTTGGATTTCCAAACATCTTTACTTCCCCGAGTGTGTCCAGATTTTGCTGAAGGCAGGTGGAGGCTGCAGCCCCGATCCACTTGAAGCTCTTCAGCAGCTGCTCGACTGCTCGCGCGTCTCGAGCACTGCCAGGCGTCGTCGCCAGCGGAGACGCTGTCGTGGGCCCTGACAGCGACGCGCGCAGTCGACGCGGGCGACCTGCGTTTTCGACGCCGCGCTTCGAATGCATATCCCAAGCTGCGCGAGGTCGTCGACTGCGATGCGCGGGACTGGGTTCGGCAACCGGATGCCCATCGGCATCTCGCGTCGCTCTCCCGGGAAAATTCGCCGGCGACTTGGCGAGCTCGAGCGTGCAGAAATCCACCCGCAACGCAAAGCTGAATAGCACGCTCGCCTCCTCTCGCGCCAGTCATGTCGGGGCAAGGCGAGGCGCGCTGTTATTCTGCAGGGGGTGGTTGATCCCAGTGGCCGTCGCATAGAGGGCCGAATGCGACGCGACCAGTTTCGTTATCTGACGCCCATAGCAAGAATGTCAGCCTTTCGATCAACGATCCGCATGCCCGACTGCGCGAGACGTCGCCCGTCGACGTTCATTGAGGTTTCGCCCGGGGCCGCATCGAGTGCCGCGCGCTTTCCTGGCGTGGCCGACCGGGGCCCAGCGCGCGCACTTCTGCTGCTTCGACGTTCGCGACGCCTTTATCTGGTCAGTCTGAGTGGCCATGGTTCCGCCGGCCAACGGCATCTCTGCCGTTGAGATCATGTGTAACAAGGTCTGGGTCTCCATCCACTTCGCTGGCCCTGGGGATCGCGGATTCTGGTTGCCCCGATCGATGAAACAAGGGCGCGCCAAAATCGGCCAGCGACTTCGCCCCGGCTTTTGACCCGATCATCGTGTATTTTCTCGCCAGATTTCCCAGGCGGTTGGCCGCCGTCGCAATTTTTGCCGACGACGCGGGCATGGGCGTGCCCGATGCGCGCGAAGCTCTGCGTGCTAGTCTGCCGGCGTGGGTCGCTGGGCCGCCGGTCCTATTTTGAGCACCGAGAAGACGGTTATATGTTTCCAAGCAGCACTTGGCCCAGGCGTTTTCTTTCGTGAGTTTCGGAATGTTGGCGTCAAAACCGATTGCCTCAAATTGGTCAAGCGCATCAAGTACCTCGATAATCCTGGGCCCTGGCGGGGGAAATACTGCATGGACACGAGGTCGGCCGAAAGTGTCTCGGGCGCGCCCAAGTTTTGCAGCGTTCGGACCTCGGCCTGATTTTCGCGATTGCACGGCGCGGCACTTTCTGCTGCCGCGCCCGAGGCCACGCGGCGCAGCTTCATTCCCCAACTCCGGAGGCCGTTCGCATGGGGCGCGAAGCCCTGCTGGCCCTGGCGGTTGCCCCACGCGCTGCGTTCTCCCGTGACTTCCCGGAGGCCCTCAAGGAAGTCGGCCCCCCCGCCCGGGCGAGACAGTTGGCGAGCGCGAGTCGGGCTTCCCAGCGCAGGTGCGTTCTCCGCAGCTAGAATTTCCACGAGTTGCCCACCTCCCTCGACGAAGTCGGGGCCGGTGATGGCGCCTAGATTGCATGCCCCCTTAGGGTCCGCGGTGGAGGGGCTCCTCCTGTCTCACCCAGGTGCGCCGCACTGATCGAGCCCTGCATGCCCTCCAACCTCCTCACTCATAAGCCGCCCCTCCAGCACCGAATTCGTGTGTTCCTGAGGCCCCGGGGCGAAGTCTCGGATCGTTCCCAGAGAAAGAATAGGCTTGGGCATTTCCACCCCGCCGCCGCCGAGCCCCGAGTGGATTTTAGCATGTTGTTTAGGCGCTCGCGCGCCCTGGTCCCGAGCTCTCTTTCACGGTCGGTCCTCGAAGGGATCGCGCATAGTTGGCGCGCGTCCAGGAGATTTCGGGGACCCACGAAGGGGTGCCGTTAGTGTCAAGTCGCCGCGGCGCGAGATGACATTCTCCAATATGGTTCTAGTTGCCCATATTGCCTCCTTCGTTCGCCTCTGCCTCGGCTCTCGTTGGTCTCTACTGCATGTTTGAATGGCACCATGTTTTCGACGTGCCACGTCGCCGAAGGCCTGGTCAGGGGCGGCCCAGTGTCTTTCGCGCGCTTGGCCCAGGCGCGTCTCGGGCAAATGGGCCAGGCGTTCTCCGGCAGCTGCTCAGGTGCTCCGAGGGTGACGAGCTTATTATCATGGCAGCTTCGCTCCTCCCCTTCCGTTCCTCTCCTTCCCTCCCACGGTGCTGCGGACTACGGCGGCTAGGCAACCTCTGTGCCATTTGCGCGCACCACCTGAGGCAAGCTGGACAGAGCCAGTCCCTGTCCTGTGTGTTGCGTGTGCGTGTGTGTGCGCGTGTTTGATTGCGCGTGTGCGCATGCGGGGCCGCGTCGCTTCAGAAGGAGCCCACCTCCCACGAGCTCCCGCGGCCCCACCAGGGTCGAAAAACATGGAGCTGAGCGTATTCCATGGCATTCTGCCATTTCCACCTGCGTCCGCCCTATTTCGCCCTCGACTGTAACTCGTTCGCTCGTTGAGTGCATGCTGGTCGTTCGCCCGCTCGTCGTGTCGCCTGTCGCGGGACCCCCCCCCCTCGGTGGTCGGTTTCGGCGGCTTCTTCCCCTCGCCATCCATGCCAGGATAGCATTCAGTTCCGCTGGGTCCCCAACCGCTGCATTTGACTTTCTCCGCGTCGTCGATGCGAGCGAAGCCGCGACCGCCAAAAAGTGCGCGTGAGCGCACCTGATTTATGTTTGCGCTTCAAGTTGTTGTGTTGAGTTTCGCTCCGCATGTGCGTTGGCTGTTGCACCTTGGCTTTGCAGCGCCTCTTGTCTACCACCACAAATCTGCATGGCCGTGGCTGGATCATTTCAGCATGGCGCGTTTGACGGAAACCGTTCACCATTTAAATTTCCATCCGCCGACCGCGCCTTGGGCTCCCCTGCGCCGCCGACTTGAAAGTGTGTGTGTGTGTTTGTGTATGTAAGGGTGTGGAAGTGTGTATGTGTGTGTGGGTGCGTGGGTGCGTGTGTGTGTGTGTGTGTGTGTGTGTGCGTGCGTGCGTGCGTGCGTGCGTGCGTGCGTGCGTGCGTGCGTGCGTGCGTGCGTGCGTGCGTGCGTGCGTGCGTGCGTGCGCTCTGTTTTCCCGAACTTGGACCCAGGCCAACCCGTATTCCGAATTTCCCTTTCCCTCTGGTTGTGAATGGTTCCCCCTCCTTCCTTCCGACGCCGGGCCTAGTACGTGCGCGGTGTGTTGGCAGGGCCTCGCTTGGAAGGTCACGCGAGAGCTCTAATCGCAGGGGCCTTCCTGGCGCTCATCCGATTGGCCCGTTCCCGTTCCAGCGGCCAGCCTTTGCCCGCCCTGCGGCAGCCTGAGGTGGAAGCGGAGCCGTGGGGACCGGAAGCAGCAGTCCCCCCCCCCCCCCCTCCCTCAGAGTGAGGGGGCGGGCTCAAGCTCGGTCGTCGTGGAGTCGTGCACGGTGTCTCCCAGGGCCCCTGGCGCCCCCACGGAAAGACAGCCAGGCATGAAACCACCGCTGCCCTCCCCTAGAGCCTAGAGGACCGCCCCTCCTTTATGTTTTCCTCCTCTCTTCCCCCCTTCCCCGACAGAGGGGGCTTGGGGGTGCACCACTGCCACGCAGAGTCCTGCCATTGGCCCCTCCGATGGGCAGGCGCGCATGGAGGCGCAGGACGAGGTGAAAGCCAGGCAGGCTCCGCCCACACTGGGAGGGGATTACAGTAGAAATGAAACGGATCATATATCGCAGGGGAGGCGGAGCAGGAGGAGGAGGACGATGAGGAGAAGAGGAATGTAGAGAGGATGGAGCAGCAACAGGAGGAGGAAGAGGAGGAGGAGGAGGCTGTAGATTGTGGCCATGGATATTGAGCTCAGGCGATCCGCCTCGCCACAGCGCGGCGTAGGAAGAAACTGTTCCTCCCCCAAAGTTCGGCTTTAGCCTCATCCTCATCGACCGCCGAAGCGGGCGACTCAAAGCCGTGCAGGCAGGCAATTTTTCCAGGGCTCCAGCACATGAACTCGTACCCCGTATCGGTGGGATCCGCAAGAATTCCAGGACCACGACGAGACCACCAGCGGGCCCGTCTTCCAGCCCGGACGTCCCGGACGCCGAAGGATACGGAGGACCAGGACGGGTCCTTTGCCAGGTTCGGGGGCCCCCAAACGGGGTGGTGACCACACCGTGTGGTGAGTCGGTGGGGATTCGGGGAGTCCCCGCACGGTTTTAGGACTCGGGTCGTTCTTCGAGGATGTCTCGAGCGATTGGGGCCTCCAAGGTCCCGAGACCGTGCGTTGACGGACAGTGCGGTGAGGTCTGGGGTGATTTCGAGGTCGCCGCACGGTCTGTCACCGCACCGTGTCGGGACTCCAAACGGGTCCCCGTGCAGCCCCATTCGCGTGCTGATTTGGCCGGGCCCCGACGTCCCAGAGATGTGGGCCCGTGCGGCGAGGGCGCCGACGGGTGGGATCGGCGCCTCGAGCGAGGAGGGGCGGGGGGGGCGGCGAGGGAAGCGGTAGGACTGTCGAGGCCAGGACAAGGGAGTCGTCACTTAGGAGCCTGTTTTCCACCACCGCCACCACAAGTTGGATGGGGAGGGGGTTCTCCTCTTCCTCCTCCTCTTCCTCCTCCTCCTCCTCCTCCTCCTTCTCCTCGTCCTCGTCCTCGTCCTCCTCATCATCCTCCTCTTCCTCGTCCTCCACCTCCTTCCCCTCTCCAACTTGTGGTGGTGGTGGTGGTGGTGGTGGTGGTGGTGGTGGTGGTGGTGGAAAACAGGCCCATCAGTCACAGAGGGGGATCCTCACGGAAGAGCGGTCCTGCTTCGTCTCGCGAAGCCAGCGTTGGGGGGTCAGGCACGCCGCCGTGGACGCCGCGGACTCGAGGGCTGGAGTGCACAGACGGGCGAATCTGCGAGGCGGCGCCGAGGAGGAGAGCAGCGCTCCCGCAAGCCGCCGCCTCGTGCTGCGACTCTTCCTCTCCTAGTTACCTAGTTCCAGCCCAGGCAAGCGGGGGGCAGCTGATACGGTGTGCTCTATGGATGCGTACAAATCTCTATACATATATATATATATATATATATATATATATATATATCCGTAAGGGCTTCGCCCCCTGCCGCCGGACCCCTCTCTCGGAGAATGGGCCATGGAAGAGCTAAGTCATGAGGCCTTGGCGCTGTTGTGAAGCAGTATCGAAACTTCATGCGAAGCCGAACGCAATCAGCAAAACCAACTGATCACAAGAGGGGTTACCACACCTGGCGATTGGTAAGACGTGTATGGTGTACGGGCTTGGTTACCACACCTTGCGATTAAAGGGCCGAGGGAGTTCTCGCAGTTTGGGTTACCACGCCTTGCGATGGATGTGCGTGAAGGGTGGCACCGAATTTCAGAAATGTGGCAAATCCCCTGTGTTTTTGGACCCTGACCCCGCGGATCTGCGTGAGGGGTGGCACCGAATTTCAGAAATGTGGCAAATCCCCTGTGTTTTTGGACCCTGACCCCGCGGATCTGCGTGAGGGGTGGCACCGAATTTCAGAAATGTGGCAAATCCCATGTGTTTTTGGACCCTGACCCCGCGGATCTGCGTGAGGGGTGGCACCGAATTTCAGAAATGTGGCAAATCCCATGTGTTTTTGGACCCTGACCCCGCGGATCTGCGTGAGGGGTGGCACCGAATTTCAGAAATGTGGCAAATCCCCTGTGTTTTTGGACCCTGACCCCGCGGATCTGCGTGAGGGGTGGCACCGAATTTCAGAAATGTGGCAAATCCCCTGTGTTTTTGGACCCTGACCCCGCGGATCTGCGTGAGGGGTGTCGATTTCGAGCCCCCCCAGCAATTCAGACAACGCGCCCAGGGGACGCTAAAAATCCCGTTTGGGCCTCCCCCCCCCTCGCGCGGTCAATCAATTAGTTACAGTAACCAGCAAGAAGTCAATTAGTTACAGTAACCAGCAAGAAGCAGCACTGTAACACTGGAAACTACAAACTACAACTGGTACAGGAAACTGCGAATCACGCGCCTCGCAGCCTGGTGGCCCCACAAGGGGGCCGGCGGATATATCCACGTGTCTCTATGTGTGCTCCCTTCTGTTATTCAAGACGCCTACGGCGAACCACCACCGCCCTCTGCGTTTTGGAGACGCCCATGCGGCCAAAGCTTGGGCCGAAATCTTGCTACGCTATTTGGCTATGTGGTCCTTCAGCCGTTGTGGAACACCTTAAGGACATTTTTCGGATAGGGAGATGAATCATGAGGACAGGATGAAAAGGAGATGAGGAGGAGGAGGAGGAGGAGGAGGAGGAGGAGGAGGAATAGGAAGAAGAGGGTGCCTCTTGAGGCCCTCTTGAGGCTTCCTGGGGGCTGCCCGGGAACCCCCTGGGGGCCTCTGACTGGGCCTCTTGGGGGCCTCTCGGATGCCCTGACCTGAGGTGGGCCAGCCAGGTTCGCTTCACACTTCGTCAGAACGTTCTGCTCGGAAATGACCTGGCCTGAGATCGTCCAGCCATCTTCGCCTCATGCATCCACGTTATTATGGTTTCATCGATGATCTTGCCTCACGTTATCTGATCCCGTATCCTCGCTATTCTGGGTTCGCTTCTTCCGTGGACATGCCGTTTCTTTTGATATATATATATATATATATATATATATTTGCGATTCCCAGTCCATGTACTTCTGTCCTGACCTCATGTGGTTCGGATCTTGTTCGCTCGAGACATCTTCGGAATTGTGAGTTCGGAGATGCCCAGATTTGCTGTGGTTTGAGCAACTTCGGCCGATACAGTCGGTGCCCTGAAGAAGGAACCCTTTGGGTTGCGGAGGGGCTCCGCGTTCCTTAGGTGTTTCACAGCTTGCCTCAGGTTTTCCTTATGTTTTCGACCGGAAATCGAAGTTTAATGTATGGAGGCCTCGTTCCTTATTTAGGGTTCCTTAGGTCAACGCCCCGACGGTATCTCCCCGCAGCTCTTTGATGAGAAGAGTTTGGGGAAGAACGTCGCAGAGCGGTGGCGCGCGCTCAGAGATTCGATTGAGACGCAGGAGCGGTGTGCATTACGACTGCTAGGGAGAAACACAGGGCGCGGCGCGACTGCGACGGCAGCGCGCCCCGCGACCGCGAAGCAGCAGACCGAGCGCCTCACGACTGTGCTGCGCAGACATCGGAGGCGGAGAGGCGGGAGTCCGCGGCGGGAGGAGGAGGAGGCGGGCGGCGGGAGGAGGCAGACTGCAGAGGTGCCCGTCAGCTCGCCGCCGCGTCGCCTCGGTCCTGCCCCCGAGAGTCTCCCGGCTCGGGCTCTCGTGCCTCGGAGGCCCGCGCGGCGGCCACCTCCAGGGGGTCGTCTGCTCCCCCTCTTGTGACGGCGTCGGTGCGCAGGTTCCTTTTGAGATCGCCCTGCAGTCGTCGGCCCGGATTCGTTGGGGTCGGGGGTGGACGGACCTCCTACCCTGACGCGTCGATTGAGGAATCGGCCGTTTTCGGTTCGCGAGGGGGCGTCGCGGCCGTCATTTCTGCGGGTCCAGGTCCGTCGATTTCAGTCCCAGGCCGTTTTCACTAAGGGGAGGTTTACTAAAGGGAGGTTTGTCCACCGCCGATGGGGGAACAAGAAGTGGCATAAACATAAAAGTTCGGAGGTCCGCGCGGGTTTCTCGGATCGGCGCTGGGGCCCCCCGGCGGCGCCTCCAGCGCCGCCCCTGGCGCGCTCCGCGCGCCAGGGAGGGGGGTCCAGCGCGGATCTGGGAAATCCGCGCGGACCTCCGAGTTGTTATGTTGATGTCACTTTTTGTTCCCCTAAGGTCGACTCTGCCAGCTCAAGGGTACCCTTGTGTCCTGTGCCTCGCGACACGTGCCTTCCTACACTCCTATGGCGATGTGGCCTTCGGAAGGGTCTTGTGTCCTCTCGCGTGTCCCTTGGCATCGCTCGGACGTGTGCATTCTTTCCTTCGGCGAGGACCATCGAGGAGCATCCTTGATCACTTGGCGAAGAAAACACAGGGAATGGACGTCCGAGCGATGGCCAGGTCCTCTCCAATCGAGTCCGACTGCACCTTTGAGGAGGCGCAGCCAGGGATCAAAAGGCGCGTGGATCAGCGACGGGTCCCGCTGCCGTTCGGGGGTGGACAGAACCCCCGACAGTGACATGTCGATCAATTCGTGAATTGTCCGTTTTCGGTTCTCGAGAGGGCGCCGCGGCCGTCATTCTCCAGGCTTGCGCCCGCCAGGTGTGGGCCTCAGGTCGTTTTCACTAAACCACGTTTTACTAAAGTCGGAAGCCGGGCGAGGGCTGCTAAATCCGTGGCTGCTAAAATCGACCTCCGGGAAGTTGTCTTCGTCCTTCCGGGAAGAAGCCCGTTGACTGTTTCGCGTGCCGCGCCTCATTCCGGGAAGTTGTTTTTTCCCTCCGGGAGGGCCGTTTTAGCAGCCACGGTTTTAGCAGCCCTCGCCCAGCTTCTGATAAAGGGAGGTCTGTCCATCCCCGAGCCGTGCAGAATCGGCGCGCCCCGGCGCCGAGCGGGGCGGCAGAATCGGCTTCGGGCGTCACCGGGTGCACTGTCCCCGAGCCGCGGACCTCTGGCGCCCACGCTCGTGATGTTCAGGAGGGGAAAAAAAAACACACAGACACAATGAGTCGTCGATCCCCCAGGAAATATGGGAAAATATGGGAAGTGGGGGGGGGGAAGACGAAAACCCCGAAAATGTGGGGAAATAGGGGGAATCTCTTCTTATTTGTGTGTATTCATTTGTGTGTCCCAGGGCCCCTTCAGATGTTCCAGCCTACTTCAGCCTCGATCACCAGGAAGAATTTCGAGCACCAGGAAAGCATGGGGGGGGGTCACGCGTCGGGCCCTGGGAGACTCTCGTCCGACACTGTTTCGACACTCCTTCGACACTTTTCCAGGTGCTCGAAATTATTTCTGGGATGTCGTCCTTGAGTACGATGGGAGCCACATAAGCCCACGCGCGAGATCCAAGGTTCCGTAATCCAGCCCGCATGGGAAGGATGGGCCACCTTCCCAAGGGTACCCTTACGTCCTTGCCTCCTCGGTCCATCCTTCGCCACGTTCGCCGGCCGCGCCCCGCTCGAAAGGCTTCGAGATGGGCGTCCAAGGCCTTTGCATCCTTATCGCGCATCCTTACTATACGGGTTGACCGTAATCCATGTCGGTGCGTGCCCGATACTTGGCTCCTTGTGTGGCTCATAGCGCTGGAGGGGGGGCACCTCCCAGCCAGCTTCGGCGAACCTCGCGCATTTTTCCCCGCCCGACGATGGAGTGGTCGGGGCCCTGGAGTGGACCGTGCAAGCCAGAGGATTTTTCCAGCACGGTCTCCGACGAAGTAGGGCCGCGGGGTCGCAGTGCTCCTGTTGCCAGCCTCAAACGGGAGGGGGGGGGCAGGAGGAAGACGAGGGGGGGTGGAGACGGCGGGAGGCGAGGTGGCAACGCCACTGCAGGCGATGGGGAGTGGACGGGCCCCCTTCCAACCTTTCCTTCACATTCCCCCCCGGTCCGCCGCTCACTATTCCCCCTCCCGCCTTCAGCAGGCGCAGCGGCGGGCGGCGGAGGCCCTCTCCTGCTCCTCCAGTCCCCTCCGAGGAGCACGGGAGCCACAGGCGCAAGCGCAAGTGGCACGTGACAGAGGATGATCCGATGGGGCCTGGCACCAAGGCGCCCCGGTGGATGGGGCCAGGTGCCACTTCGTCACTTCGTTCCCCCTGCCCCGACGGTAGAGGGAAGCAATCAGTGAACACCCCCCCTGCCCCCCAAGCTCAAAGTTGGCACGCGCGGGGGAGACTGCGGTCGAGGTGCAACTCATCAGACCCACCACCAATTTTGAACATTGGGGAGAGGGGGAGGCGTTCACAGATGAATGTGGCATGAGTGTTCGCTTTTTTTTCCGAGGCCTGGAGTGCTTCACGCCCTCCCCATCTTCTTCCCATTGACCCCGTCTGTCCCCCGCCTGGCCGTCTCCCCCATGGGTTTGTCTTCCTCCTCCTCCTCCTGATTGCCCCCTCCTTCGCCTCCTTCACTCTTGCGCCCCTTCCGCCTCTCCCCCGCGTCCTGCTGCTCCCACAGTCAGGCTGATGGCATGAGGCGCGCTAGATAATGAGCGAAGCCCGCTTTTGGCACCACAAGAGCTTGGGTGCACGAGGAGAACTAAACGAACAGCCACCGAATGACCTAATGAACAGCGAGCCCTTTTCGAATCCAAAGCGGTCCTAATTTCAGCGTCTTGGCTGTACATCCTCTTCAGTAATGTCACTCCTCCACCCTTCCTGCTGCTCCTCTTCTGCCTCGTCCCCGTCCCCCATCCTCCTCCATCCTCCTTTCCCGCCCCTCCCCCCCCTTCCCCCCACCGCGAACACTCACACATGTTTCTTCCGGCGCACCAGTGAGTTGCAGCTATCCGTGATGACCTATTCGGGGCTCTGCGCATTATGCTCCATCTGGCACCACCGCGCACAAGCGCAACACAGGCACGAAACACACAGTACAACACAAGCACGCACACACGTTCACGCGCACGCGCTCCAACGCTCTTACTTCTGTTCGGCGGCGCCCAATCGCAGCCTCAGGGGTGCTGGCTGACAGTCAGGCGCGCAGACCGCAGACAGGCGCACATGCAGATGCGTACGCACCGTTTTGTCCTCATGGCGAGGTGCCGACACTGTCGCGAAGTCTTTCACGGGCCGTTTGCAAGCAACACATAGTTTTAAGTCGGGCCTGTCCTTCTACAGGAGGCATATTCAAAAATAGTAAAAAATAGTCTGGGAACTATGTTTTGAATGTTTTTTTGTCCAAAATCCCCCTGTGGGGGGACAGGCCCGACCTAAACATTGTTACCACCCAGCGTTGTGGATGGGGGGAGCGGGCGACCGCCAGGTGGGCATGCAGCGAGCGCATTGCGTCCAGTCCAGCGCGCTCGCGCGCGCACGCACGCACGCACGCACGCACGCACGCACGCACACGCACACACACACACACACACACACCCGTGCGCACACACACACACACACACACACACACACACACACACACACACACAGACACACACACACACACGCGCGCGCGCATACACGCACACACACACGCATACACGCACACACACACACACACGCGCGCATTCACACGATCCGTCTCTACCTGTCGTTCCGCTCCTCGTGTCACCCATCACTTCTACGTGGCCTCCTCATGCTCCTCCACGCCTTTCCCCCAGTAGCTTGCTACTTCGAAACGTGGAGGCCCACGCATCCTTATGAGGTATGTCGTTACATCCAAGCCGATCCAACATTAGGCAAATGTTGACCAGAAGTAGTTGGGGATGGACTTATCAGGGGATGGAGCTCACGTTCCGCGGCATTCGAAGCGCAGAACCACAACAGGATTGTTGCAGGGTGGGGCAGCTTCAATCAACTGCGTTATTGGAGTGACAAACATGCGCCTCGCACTCCAGTAGACCGAGGCTCCCCAACGGCACTATCACGCCGTCCGTGATGTACGGGTGTTTTTCATGGTCGTGCTTGGATTGTCACCGAGGATATGCTCATTATTACCATGCGTGTCCAGCGGGAAATGCTGGGGATTGTCATGGGGGCTGCGCGGCAACGCAACAGATAGCATCAGCACACTCCAGACACCTCCGACCGTAACCACTGCATGACCGACGCCAAAAGTACAATTAAGTCGGGCCTGTCCCTCTACAAGGGGAATCTTCAAGAATAGTCAAAAATAGTCGGGGGACTATTTTTTGAGTATTTGGTGACCATGTATGTTTTGAGTATTTGTTTCATTTCTCGCCGAAAACACCCCCTGTAGGGGGACACGCCCGACTCAACAGCACAACCGCGTGCAGACCACTTGCGAAAAGCTGCACGGAGCCCTAGAGCAGGTCTCCCGAGCGCAGCATGGGTCCTTCCTCCTCCTCCCCCCCCCCTCCCTCTCGCCCCCACTCCTCCAGCTCCTGCCCCTCCCCCTCCGCCTGCTCCTCCTCCTCCTGCCCTCCTCCTCCGCCTCCTCCGCCCTCCTCTGGCGCTCCTCCCCCCTCTCTCCGCGCGCGCCTGCCGAGGGCCGGCCGCCCCGCGGGCGCCCCCCCCCCCCCCCCCCCGCGGGTGCTGCACGGAGCCCACCGAGCAGGTCTCCCGAGCGCAGAGGGAGGCGAGCACCCCGCGCGGCGGAGCGCGGCCCTCCGCGCGCGGGCGCTGCGTGGGGGGGGGGGCGGGCGCGCCCCACGCGGCTGGCCGACGACGTCGGCCGCTCTCTGCGCACCGCGGGCACCGCAGTGGGCAGCGACGTCCGCGACGGCAGCACATCGGGCCTGTCCCCCATACAGGGTTTTTTTTATAGCGAAAAATGAAAAGATGCCCCACAAATGACCGAATTAGCCTGGCGAAGGACCCAACCATATGCAGCTGTGAGTACATTCTTTGTGAGCAACGCATTCGGTGGGGCTCCCTATGGGGCCACGAAATGCTGTCCTGGGTTGGTGAGACGCATGCGAATGCAGCCACTGGGGCCTTCGGTGGAGCTCCTTGTGGGGCCACGAGACGCTGTACTGGGTGGCGCGGACGCATGCGAATGCCATTGGGGCCTTCGGTGGAGCTCCCGATGGGGCCACGAAACGTGCAAATGGTGTGCCGAAATGGGCGGGGGGCGGCATGCGGACCCTTCCAATGGGGCCTTGGATGGAGCTCCCTATGTGGCCAAGAACCGTGCGAGGGGCGTGCCGATGTGTGGCGGTGTAAGCAACACGGAAGAAGACGATAGATTTCATAACGAGAGCTTGAGAGCGGGTGAGTGTGAGCACGAGTGGGTTTGATTGTGCATGAGTCTGCGTGCGAGTGAGTCTACGCGCATGCATGTCGACGCCCATATCGGCACGCCCATCGCGTATCTTTGCCCGCGCACTCCAGTGTCCAAGGCTGCGGGCGCAGAGCAGCGCAGAGTCCCCGCGACGCGCGCTAGTCGCCCCGAAGGGGTCCCAGCAACGCACGCGGGTCGTCCGTTGCGCGGAGCAAAGCGATTTAGCTGGCTTGCTGAGAGCGGGCAAAGCTTTGGCCGCCGGGCAGGGCGACGACGGGCGAACGAGGCGCTGGGCGGTGCGCAGCACGGAGTCCCCGCGACGCACGCTGGTCGCCCCGAGAGGGTCCCAGCGATGCGCGCGGGTCGTCCGCGGCGTCAGGCCGAACTGTTGGACAGCCTGGATGTGGCGCGGCTCGGGCGGGCCGCTCCTCAGGTCAGGCCTCGCGGATCAACTCGGTGAAGCCCAGCTCTCTGGCGAGGGCCGCCGCCTCCCTCCTGCGCCGCGTCGTGCGCGCAGCAAACTGCTCCAGCTGCTTCCGCAAGCCCTCCGGCGGCCCTGCCAGGAAGAACTCGGTGCACACCACGGCGCCTGCGTGCACCACAGCATCCGTGTGCCACAAAACACAGTAGATGTGTTTTGTTTGTCGGAAACATGACTCGATCGCCCCATGCTCCCAAGCAGTGCCAGAAACGACCTCCCAAAGAGATCTCGCCAAGGCGCACGAGCATGGCCGTCGCCGTCGCCGTCGTCGTCGTCGTCGTCCTCCTCCTCCTCCTCCTCCTCCTCCTCCTCCTCCTCCTCCGCCTCCTACTCGTGTAAACTTCTCGCACTCTTCGAGGCGAGAAGTTTACACGAGTACTGCGACCCCCCCCCCGCTGGGGCCTTCGGTGGAGCTCCCTATGGGACCACGAAACGCAGTTCTGGGTGAGGGAGACGCATGCGACCCCCCCCAATGGGGCCTTCGGTGGAGCTCCAATCGGGCCACGAAACGCTGTCCTGGGTGGGGGAGACGCATGCGACCCCCCCACTGGGGCCTTCGGTGGAGCTCCCTATGGGGCCACGAAACGCTGTCTTGGGTGGGGGAGACGCATGCGACCCCCCCACTGGGGCCTTCGGTGGAGCTCCCTATGGGGCCACGAAATGCTGTCTTGGGTGGGGGAGACGCATGCGACCCCTCCCCACTGGGGCCTTCGGTGGAGCTCCTTATTTGGCCACGAAGCGCTGTCCCAGGTGGGGGAGACGCATGCGACCCCCCCTCGCTGGAGCTTCTGGTGGGGCCCCCTATGGGGCCACGAAGCGCTGTCCTGGGTGGGGGAGACGCATGCGCCCCGCCCCCCCCTGGGGCCTTCGGTGAAGCTCCCTATGGGGCCACGAAGCGCTGTCCTGGGTGGGGGAGACGCATGCGACCCCCCCAGTGGGGCCTTCGGTGGAGCTCCCTATTGGGCCACGAAGCGCTGTCTTGGGTGGGGGAGACGAATGCGACCCCCCCACTGGGGCCTTCGGTGGGGCTCCCTGTGGGGCCACGAAGCTGTGTGATCATGGTTGATGATGATGATGATGATGGTGATGATGATGATGATGGTGATGATGATGATGATGACGACGATGGCGATGACGACGACGACGGCGACGATGATGATGAGGATGATGATGATGATGGTGGTGGTGCTGTTCATGGTGGTGGCGATGGTGATGATGATGATGATGAGGATGATGATGATGATGATGGGGACGACGATGATGATGATGATGAGGAGGAGGATGATGATGATGAGGATGATGATTACCATGACGATGATGATGGAAGGAGGGTGAGAAAGATGATGGGGGGGAGGAGGGGAGGAGGAAGGAGGGGGAACGAGGGGCGCTGTCTGTTCAAAACGAGGACCCAACACCACATGATGGTTGGGACAAATAATCCAAACATGTTTTGGGGATTATGTTTGGGGTATTGTTTGACCTTCTTGGGGTATATTTGGGGTATTTTTACTTTTCGTCGGAAACCACCGTGTACGGATGACACGCCCGACATAAACATAGTCGCTGTTCATTGTGCCCGTGCCACGCCACGCTGCCCCCCGGCGACCCCAACGGCAAAACCCGACGGCCACAAACGGCCCCCCCCCCACACACACCTCGTCCGCCCACTCCACCGCTGCGCTTGCGCCGCCTGGTCGTTGTCGCCGCCCCGCAGGGTCCGCAGCCTCGTCGCGGGTGGTTCTCTTCTCCCGGCCCCTGGCATGGCCTGTCAGCTTGCAGTTCCTTCCGCTCTCCTCCTCTTCTTTGCCCCAGGGGTGGACCTAAACGGTGTTTGGGCGAGTTCCTGGGCCGTTTTCGTTTCGGTATCGTTTTGCGGTACAGGCGGACTGAAGACAAAACGAGGGACAACGACGACAAAATGAGAACGAAAAACACCGTTCAGGTTCAGCCCTGCTTTGCCTCCCTCCCTCCCCGCATGCTCCCTGCCCGCCGTCTCCGCCCGGCTCCCCCTCTCGCCCGCCCGCCCCGCCGGCCCAGGGCTTGGCATCGCTCGGACGTGTGCATTTTTTCTTCGGCGAGGACCATCGAGGAGCATCCTTGATCATTTGGCGAAAAAACCAAGCACGAAACCGAAACAAACACAGGGAATGGACGTCCGAGCGATGGCGAGAGGGGCTCCCGCCTCCGCGCCCGCCGTCGTCTGCCTGCATCTCCCCTCCTTTTCCCCAAGAAGCCCAGCAGCACAGCCCGCCCTGGACTTATGCTGCGTAGCTTCGTGATGTTCCAACCTGCTTGAGCCCTGACCACCAGAAAGAGTTTCGAGCACCCAAAGCAGTACTCCAGATTTCGTAATAAAGGGAGGGGGCTCTCATTTCGGGGGGGCGTCTCTTCCAGGCTATCTTGGAGGGCCAGGGGGGTCTGGGGACGATGTTTTGGAGGGTTCTCCCACGGGGGAGGTCTGAAATGGCTTGTCTTGGAGGGTCCAGACCCCCTCCCTTTTATTACGAAATCTGGAGTATCTAAACATGTGGTTCTCACGTGTCGGGCCCTGGGAGACACTCGCCCGACACTGTTTCGGCACCCTTTCGGCACCTCTCCGGGTGCTCGAACTTATTCGTGGGATGTGGTCCTGATGTACGATGGGAACAACATAAGCGTTGATGCATCCCCGCTGACGCATGTGCCCAAACAGGCCATTTGCTTCCGTCCCCGCCACCAGAATTCCAGAACGTATAATTCGCAGACGTTGCTTGAGCCACCCGGCGCTGGCCCGCCCGATCGACCCTCACCGGGCCGACCCGTCGAAATCGACAGTGCTCGCTCTCTCGCTCGCCCCCCATCCTCAGCATGTTCTTGCTCCTCCTCCTCCTCCTCCTCCTGCTCCCTCTCCTCCTCTTGGCTGGCACGGCTTGGCGATGACTGCCTGGATTCGCGTCGTGCGCCCTGGCAGGCAGACAGCGCCGGAGAGGCTGTAATGCAAAATAGGTTGGATTCGGGGCTTTTTCGATGCCCGGGGATTGACAGCCGAAGCTCGCAACAGAAGCTCCTCTCCACTTCCTCAGCCAGCGACACCGAGTGCACGCCCGAGTCCATGGCGGGGCAGACCACCAGTCCGAAGGTTGATGGGGTCCGGTTCGCCGTGGACGCGTCCTGAGCGGAGCCGGCGTGGCTCGGCCTCCAGCGCGCCGGGTGTGCCATTTACGCTGTTCGAGCCGCTCTGAATGGTTCGGTTGCGCACCCGGCGTGTCTCTGTCCCTTCCAGCCTGCCGCAGGCGCCGGCCATGGCCATGGCAGAGGACCTATCCTACGCCTTCGTCGGGCATGTGGCTGATCCAAGTTGTGTGGCGCATGCGGTTTTCATGGGCATGCCCCAGGCTCCCCGTGAGACGAAGGAGGAACAGTTTAGGTCTGACTCTGTCTACCCAGGTGTTCTCCGCTTGGCTCGTTCCGCGGATAGTTTTGGCAAGATGACGGGGTCAAGCACGTCAAGGCACGTCAGTCAGGAGAGGATTTTGAGCAGTTGGGCATCTACACCAAGCGCATCATCCATGGTAATGGCAACACGGATCGGCATGCCAAGCCGGTGGAATTGCTCGTGGCCATCGACCTTGTCTTCGCGACGGAGCTTGCGCGAGCGGAGAACCAGTACCGTGCGATGGTCAAGCTGCCTGCCAGCCCTCTGCAGCCCGATGCGAGGAGGGGGGGCAGGAGCGTTGAACCAGGAGCTCGACGGGTTTCAGGCGAGTGGGGGGTGCGGATGGCGCTGGTGGATGGACACTTCTACGGGGCCTGAGATTTCGTCATCCCGGTGGTGGTGATGAGCTGACAGTCGTTAGTCTTGAGACGGGGGTCAATGCAAACGGGGGTCAGCCAGGTCACCGGATCCTGCAGGATCCTGCGAAGACCCTCTCTGGCTGACCCGGGTTAGCGAGCCGCTCGTGGCCGCGAGGCGGCCGCGCATATTGGCTGACCCGGGTGTGCGAAGACCTGCGTTGCAGTTTTTTTTCGTGCATTGCAGGTTTTTGGTTTCCCGCTGACCCGGGTCTGGATTGACCCGGGTCAGAAGATCCCCGAACAGGCTGAAAGTGGACGCCCCCCTGTGTATTCAGGATTGCCTTCAGAATCCCCTCGGCCACAAGCTTACTGCCGACAGCCAGAAAGGGAACCTCCTGACCACCACATCGGCCACGAGGGTGCTTGCGTGCGTTGGTTGCGGGGCGCGGGCGCAGCAGAGGCGTAACATCAGATTTCGTTCACCGTGCGCGATGTCTATTGCGAAAGGTTTGCGGGCGCTGTCGGAACTACGCCAGGGGTGCTGGTCCTCGCACGAAGGAGGCCAGGTACATCGGTGCGAATGGGCCCCATCACGGGCTCGTGCCTTGGCATCGCTCGGACGTGTGCATTTTTTGCTTCGGCGAGGACCATCGAGGAGCATCCTTGATCATTTGACGAGAAAACCACGCACGAAACCGAACAAAAGCACAGGGAATGGACGTCCGAGCGATGGCCAGGTGCAGGCAGCGTCGACGCCCGAGGTCTCCACAGCCACGGTCGCCGGAGCAGCCCCGAGCGCCGCGCACAGCGCTCGGAGGCCGGGGCGGTGGCGCTGCCGCGGCGGGCGCGGGGCAGAGGTGCCGGGGGAGGCGGTGCGATGCCAGCGCGAGGCGACTACACGTAAGAGTGACCTTTCGCCGGAGTGGCCTTTGGTGCGGGCACGGACGGGTACTCCAGATTTCATAACAAAAGGGAGGGGGTCTCATTTCGGGGGGGGTCTCTTCCAGGCCATCTTGGAGGGCCTGGGGGGGTCTGGGGACGATGTTTGGGAGGGTTCTCCCAAGGGGGGGGGGGTCTGAAATGGCTTGTCTTGGAGGGTCCAGACCCCTCCCTTTTATTACGAAATCTGGAGTACCCAGATGGCTGAAAACGAAGCAGTAGCAGCTGCCTGCGCACCCAGCTTTGGCCCCCCCCCCCGCGGCCCCCAAGAAGTCGCGCACCAAAGGTCACTCTTACCCAGGGTCACTCCTGCGTACAGCTGAGCGAGAGCTGGATTTATTCGTGGCACGACGAATTGCCCTTCCAGTGCGCGCAGAGTGTCGCGCGGGGCTGCCTGCGAGTGTGCCTGCTCCTGCTGAGTTTTGGGCGGCGCGTCAAGGGGGGGATACTACATGGGGGGGGGCAGCGAGGGCTGCAGAAAAGGGGCCTCTTAGGGCCCCTGAAGGGGCCCCTTCGGGCCCCACATATCTCCCCCCCCTTTTATATCGCCCCCCCAGTAAGCGACGCCCAAGAGTTGCCCGTGTGTGGGGGTGCAAGCCCAAGTTCAGATGTGTCGCAGCGCGGCGGGAGGCAGCATATAGGCCCCGCTACGCTCCCACCTCCAGCTGCCTCCGTGCCTCGCCTGGGGCCAAGTGATGGCGCGCGGACTCCAGGGGTCTGCAACCAGAGCGCACTCGCTTTTTCGGCGCGTGGCGCACCTTGAGGTAACGTGGAGGCGGAATCTGGTGTGGACGTCCAGGACTGTGCCGACTCCGTGGAGCTCGCGTGCAGCCATTACGAGCTGGTCTCTAGTTTCGTTCCCTGACTGCGGCGCAGGGGGCTCGAGTTGCCTGAGATGTGCTGGTTTTTGTCGCGGACAGTGGGCGTGTGTTCTCGCGCGCATTGGCGCACTCACCTGGCACCCGTCGCGCGTGTGGCTCACGTGGCGTATTCGGCGCGCCTGGAGCAAGTGGCGCATCTGCACCTGGCGCGCGCGTCCTCTTCTTCCTCTTCCTCCTCGCCCTCCCTCCTCCCCTTTCTTCCCCGGTATTGAGGAACATATGGGGAGGATGCTAATTGTTAGGATGGGGCAGAGGAGGCGGAGCAGGGGGAGGCGGCTTCATACGCCTGCGGCCTGGAGAGGCGTACAAGCAGCAGGAGGAACTCGCTGCCGAGCTGCGGGCGCTGAAAGCCGGCATTGCCAACCAGGCGATCATCTCTCTCTCTCTCTTTCTCTTTTTGGTAATCTTTTTGACTCTCTCTCTCTTTCTCTCTGTCTGACTCTGTCTCTGGAAGCTGTTTTTGTTTATGGATTGATTTCTTTATAATTTCCTTATGTATATATTTCTTTCTTTATTTCTTTATTTCTTTCTTTCTGTCTCTCTTTCTTTCTGTCTTTCTTTCTTTCTTTCTTTCTTTCTCTCTCTCTCTCTATATATATATATATATATGTATACACAGTTATACATCGATTCCGGTTCTTAAGTTTGATAACCCAGAACCCCCCCTCCCCTCGCCCTCAATCGGACCCCCCAGACCCTGGGTCCCTTGGACCCCCTGGATCACTGGCCCCCGGGACCCCTGGACACCCGTGCAGAGGGTCCCTCCGAGTCCGGGCCATCGTCCTTGCCTGGCCTAGCCAGCAGGCCCAAGACGCTCTGGAGGGCCCCAAACATGCCGAAGAGGACCCCAAGAGAGCCCCAAGACTGCCCAAGAAGGCCCGATGACATGCCAGGAAGCCTTTTGGACGGCCCCAGAGGACCCCGAGGACGGCCTGCACAGGCCAAAACCTTAGATATCTCTCGCGTTTCTGAAGGGTCGTTTCAAACCAAGAGCGGCCCACGACGGTTCCTGGCGCCTCCGAGATCGCCCCAGGACGGCCCAGAGGGCCTTCTAGATCGCCCCAAGACGGCCCAAGAGGGCCCCAGAGATCCCCAAGACCTCCCAAGAGAGCCCCCAAGACGGCCCAAGAGGCCCCCAAGAGGCCCCCTAGAGAGTCCCAGGGAGACTCCCAAGTTAGCCCAAGAGAGCTCCAACAGGATCCCAAGACGGCCAAGGCCCTCCAAGAGGGCCCAAGAGCAAGAGGCAAAAACAATGATTTGCCAAACTTTTCGAGCTTTCCGGCGCTCCACGACGTCCCAAGGCGCCCCCAAGACCGCCCTGGGACGGCGCTCCCAAGAGGGCCCCAAGACGGCCCAAGAGAACCCCAACACGGCCTTTTAGACGCACCCAGGACGCACCAACAGAGCTCCGAGACGGCCCCGAAAAAAGGGCCCCTAATTTAACACAAATTTGGATCAAACCGCTTCCTCGTCAAGGACAGCGTTGTGCTAAATTTGAAGTTATTTGTTGGGGCTCTGGGGCCACTCTGGGAACTCCCTTGGCGCCCCGCTGGGCCTCCCAGGCAGTTCTCTATAGAAGCTCTCTTGGGGGCTGTTGGGAGCCAAAAGGCCTCTGGAGGCCCTGGATGCCCCACAGATCTCCAGACCCAGACCCCCTCGCGTTGTGAATAAATCACGACGGGAAGTTTTTCGCGCTGTTTCCGGCCTCCGGGGGAACCTTACCAGGCCTCGGGAGCGTCAAACAACGACTCGGGACGAAAAACCGGTCCCGGGGAGGGGGTCCAGACCTTTGGGGGTCCAGGTTGCGAACAAATCACACGACATCGGGGGTCTGGGGAATCCGGAGGCCCGCGGAAGCCCCGGAAAAGCAAAACGCGCTCCAGAGCGTGCAACCGTCCGATCACTTCCACAGACGACGACCACCACCACGACCACTGCAACGACCACCACGACGCTTATCGTGACGGCGGCCGCGCCCGCGGGGGCGGCGGCGGCGGCGGCGACGGCTTGGCGGCCCGGAGCCTCTGGGGCCCTCTTCGGCCACCGTGGCAGTCTCGTCAAGTTCAAGCAGTGGCGAAGCGTCCTGGCTCGCCTATGGCCCTGCCAAACAATGTTCTAATAACCTTTTGTGGTTCCCACGAAATGTTCTTATAACATTTCTGGCTGGGACTGCCTCGTTTTAACACATCGGGCCTATGTTCTAAGAACACTGTTTTGCTCTTCGAGCATTTTCGGATTCTAAGAACATTTCGTGGTATGACTATAGGAGTGCCGGGACGGTCGGTCCCTGCTCAACAAGTGCGCAGCTTCAAGAATATTCGGAGCATTCCGACGCTTCGCACGTCGATTTCGCGCGGCTCCGCGACCGCCCACCGAGCCCGAAGCAATCACCTCCACACGCCAGGGGCGAACCTCTCCTTGTGTGGATGAGCGGCTTTCCAAGGTTACCCTTGCATCCTTCCCCTTCGGCCCATCCTTGGCCGCTTTCGCTGGCCGCGCCCCGTTCGCAAAGTGTCGACATGGCCTTCTAAGGCCCTTGCATCCTTCTCGTGCGTCCTTATGATGCGGGTTGACTGTAGCGCAAGGTCTAACGACAACGACTTCGCAGCCAGCTAGAATCAAAGCGCGCGCAGCGCGCGTGGTCTTAGTATGTCTATATGTATGTATGTTTGCTTGCTTGCTTGCTTGTAGGTTTGTAGGTTGATAGGTGTGTAAATATATTTATATGTGTATGTATGTAAGTACGTACGTACGTACGCACGTATAAATGTATGTGCTTATAAAAGTGATTGCACACACAACTTTAACTATAGACACATTCGAACATATATACAGTGATTGGAAGCCCTGCCCCGGGTCCCCCTAGGCCGCAGCACACCAGGGACCACTGAAATACAATTAGTTCCCCCCACCATGGGGCCTCCTCTGGGCCCCCCCCCCCGAACCCCCCATCACCCGCTTGGGGAGTCCGGGTAAGTTCCCAAAAAGTCAGACGGGCTCAGATGGCTTCTGTCTGGGTGGAGATGGTGCCAAGATTGCCCAAGAGGCCCCCAACACGTTCTAAGACGGCCCTCAGAGGACCCCCACGAGGGCCCGAAGAGGCAAACATCGCCCCGTTCCTGACAGGACGTAGCACGTGTCTCGCAAGGTCGCTCTTAAAAACTGCACAACGTCCAAGACGGCCCACGAGGCCCCCAGGAGAGCTCCGAGACGGTTGCAAAGGTCCCAAACAGGACCCCAAGACGGCACAAGAGTAGGCCCCCAAGACAGCCCAAAGAAGCACGCATGAACGCCCAAGACGGCCCCAATGGAACCTTGGAGAGGGGCCCTGGGGGGGAGTGCGAATCCGCGTTTCGAGGTTTCCGCCCGAAGAGGACCCCGAAAACCGCCAGAGGGCCCCCTAAGGGCCCCCAAGGAGACCCCAAGAGAGGCCCCGGAAGGCGCCCAAAGAAGCTTCAAAGCTGTTTCCAAGAGGCCCCCTAGGGGCTTCCCCCCAGACCTCCGACGTCGTGATTTTTTCACAACGTCGACCCCCAGAGGTCTGGACCTCTTCCCCAGGACCAGTTTTTCCTCCCGAGTCGTTTTTCGACGGCCGTGAGGCCCGGTAAGGGACGCTGGAGGCCGAAAATAGTGAAACACCTCCCGTCGTGATTTCTTCACACCGCGAGGAGGTCTAGACCCTGAGACCCGAACAGGCATCCAGCGACCCAGGCACGGTGGCAGCATGGGCAGAATACCACCAAGAGGGGCACGCGCAGACGAGCGGCGCGGTGGGCCCTCCCGCTCTGTCCTCACATGTCGGGGCTCCGGGCCCGCGAGGAGCGAGGAGACCGCCCGCTGGACCCCAACAAGCCCCCGAGAGGACCTTAAAGTCCCCCCCCCCCCAAAAAAAAAACAAAACAAGAAGAAGAGGTCCTTGAAGTCTCCCAAGGGACCAGAGAGAGGCCCCGAGAGGCCCCCAAACGGCCCGGGCTTCAAAACTGCTTCCAAGAAGATGCCCATGAGGCTGCTCTTTACCGCTCTGTCCTCGTATTCGTCGTAGCCACGCTCCTGGATTCCTGCTCCCCTTCCTCGACCTTCAATCCGCCCCCCTCGTCCTCCTCGTCGTCCTCCTGAAGACCTCCGTACTCAAGAAGGGCTGCATATATATATATATATATATATATATATGTATATGTGTATGTATATACATATAAATATATGTATATATGTATATGTATATGTATATATATATAATCTGACAGGCGTGTATCATAATACATAGAAATATAGATTCCCAATCAGCGCTTGCACTGAAGGGGTCCCAGCGGAGATTCCCTAATCAGTGTTTGCACTGAAGGGGTCCTAGCGGAGATTGAAAGATTTGGCGAAAGTGCCGGGCCGATTTCGGTGGGCGGCTGGGTTCCCAGGTTCCCGGTTCCGGTTTCCTGGGTTCCCGGTTGCTGGTTTTGGACCGATTTCGGTGGGCGGCAGGGTTTTTGGGTTTCCGGGTTTTTTGGTTTCTGGTCGATCTCTTGATCGATCGGCGATCGGTCTCATTATCGATCTCACGACCCATTTCTCTGTTGATCTCACAATCGATCACACTATAGGTCGCACCAGAGATCTCATTATCGATCTCACTGAATCGACTAGACGATCGGTCTCACGATCTACCTTACTATCGATCCCACTATCTGTCTCACTATCGATCTCACAGCCGATCTCAATATCCATATCACGAATTTTCAAACCATCCACTGATTGGGTTTTTCTCTGGTGTAATTGAAAGATTTGGCGGAAGTACCCAGCCGATTTCGGTGGGCGGCCGAGTTCCTGGGTCCCCAGTTCGGGGTTCCCGGGTTCCAATTGTTCGCGGGGTTTCCGAGATTTCCGGGATTTGGTCGATCTCTTTATCAATCGGTCTCACCGTCGATCTCACTACCCACCTCTCGAGTGATCTCACAATCGATCCCATTTTAGATCGCACGAGCGATCCCACGATCGATCTCATTATCGATCTCACTGAATCGACTTCACGATCGGTCTCACGATCGACTACCGTCCTTATTATCGATCCCACTATCAGTCTCAATATTGATATCACAATCGATCTCAATATCCATACCACGAATTTTCAAACCACCCACTGATTGGGCCTTTTTTCTCCGGTGTGTATATATATATATATACAAGACTCTGAAGGCTCGCTACGCTTCGCCTTCGAATCTTGGTCCTTCTCCTTCTCCTTCGCCTCATCCTGCCCCTCCTCCTTCTCCTTCTCCCCTGCCCTCCGCCTCCTCGTTCGGCCCGGCTTGGCGGGGCCGAAACGGGCCGGGCCGGCGCGCGAGCCGGTCGAGCTGGCGCCGATCGGGCAAGGGTGGGCGGCGGCAGCGGCTGTAGCGACGACGACGACGACAACGACGACGACGACGACGACGACGGCAGCGGCGGCGGCGGCGACGACGACGACAGCGACGACGACGATGACGATGGCGGCGACGACGATGACGACGGTGGCGGCGGTGGCGGCGGTGGCGGCGACGACGACGACGGCGGCCTTTCCACCTGCGCGGCCTCCCCCATACGTCGTTGTCGTCGTCGTCGTCGGTCGTCGTCTGTCGTCGTCGTCGCCGTCGTCGTCGCCGTTGTGTCGTTGCCGCCGTCGTCGTCGCCGTTGTTTCGTTGTGAGCGGCGTCGCTGGCCGGAAAGCTTCCTCCACGAACCTGGTGGCTGGCATTCCGGGGATTTGGGGCCTTGACTGACGTGCGTGATTTGTGTATCGTGCTGCGCGGCGCGCGGGCGTGCGTGCGCGCGTCCGCGCGCGCGGTGTGCGCGTGCGTGCGTGTGTGTGCGCACGCATGCGTGTTTTGTGAGTTTTTCGCGTAGTGTGGCGGTTGGGCGCAGTGTTCGGGTACTGCGCATGGCCCTCTGCTAGAAATTACTGTCGCCTCCCCGCGCGGCCGCTGTTGTGACGTTCGCCCCTGAGGAACGTTGCTGCAGGTTGCGCATGCCCGGTTCGAATGAGGAATAACGTAAGGGGCCCCCACCCACCGCACGTGGCGCCTAGGAATATCCCTGCCGACGCGCGGACGGCGATGGAAGTGGTGGCCATGGCGACGATGGCCAGAACAACAACGACCAGGGGGGCGGCGACGACGGCGCAAATGACGACGACAACGGGGGAGGCGACAACGGAGCGACGACGACGACGACAATTCAAAGGCGATAACGACGACGACGACGACAACAACGACGACGACAACGGGACACCAAGATAGGGCGACCTGGTGGCTGGCATTCCGGGCGGCCTGGGTGCAGACACATGCTCGCATACCCGAAGGGCCCCCTGTGCGCCTTCCTTTTTTTTTGTTCCGTCGGCGACGCCCTGTGTCTGGGAACACCCAAGAAACGCATTGATATACCCTTCCCGCGGTTGTATATCGCGCTGCGTGGGCTCGGAAGGACGCATGGGCTGAAGTAGAGAGGAATGCATGAAACAGGAACGCGCGATGTATACTGAGCACAACATGCAATCCAACATTCATAATCGAAATACCACTCAGAGATAAACGTTCAAGTGTGCCTGTGCGTGCGTGCTCGTGGGTGTGTATGTGGTGACCTGTGCGTGTGAGGGTATGTGTGGTTGTGGATGAGGGGCGTGTGTGTGCTAGGGGTGTGTGGGTGTGTGTGCGTGCGGGTGGGTGTGCGTATGTGAATGCTTGTATGTGAGCGGCTTTTGTCTACAGGTCACCGTGCCTGGGCTGTGGATCAGGAGCCTTCGGCATGCCTCTGACTTGGGCCGCGGGGCTGGTCGCGGGGGGGGGGGTGACAACAACAACAATCACTTCAAAACGTATTGCTCCTCTATGCACGCATCCACCTCACGATGTGTATCCGAAGCAATGGATGTCCGCCCGAGTCGTGTTAGCCCGTGCCCCCATTACCCGCCACGTGTAGTTGGTGCTCTGTTCGATCATCGTGCCCGGGCTTGACTGCCATGACGGAGAAGATCGCCGGACAACCTGGTGGCTGGCATTCCTGGTGTCATGGGGGGAGGTTACGGTACGAAGGGAGGGGATAAATGCATAGAAGTAGGAGGACTGATGCTCCGCGGACCTGCCTTTTTGGAAACGCCGATGTGGCGGAGAGATGGGGTAGAGCGTGGCCAAGGTACCTGACCATGAGTTCTCCGAGTCGGTTTGGAAAGCCTTCGGGGATCACGTGGAGGAGAATGAGCACGAAGAGAAGAGGAAGAGGAAAATGGAGAGTAGTGGGAGGCTCTAAGGAGCGTCTTGGGGCACTCTTGGGGCTTCTTGCGAGCTTCCTGGAGGCGTCTTGGAGGCGTTTTGGGGGGCTTTCCTGGGCCAGCTGGGGGCCTTCGGGGGCTTTTCGGGGGCCTCCTTGGCCGTCTTAGGGCTTTCCTGGCCCGTCTGACGCCGTCGGAAGCCGTCTTGGAGGCCACTCTGAACCGACTTGGGGCCCTCTTGGGGCGCCTCAGGGCCGTCTTGGAGGCCATCTTGGGCGTCTTGGAGGCCTCTTGGGCCGTCTTGGGGCCGTCTTGGGGCCCTCTTGGGGCCTTCTTGGGGGCCTCTTGGGCCGTCATGGACCATCTTGGAGGGCTCTTGGGCGCTCTTGGGGCGATGTTGGGGGCCTCTTGGGCCGTCTTCGGCCGTCGGAGAGCTGAAAAGAAGAACATGCCAAAATCCTTCAAAAAACCTAAGGAATATCGATGATTTTAGCCTCTTCGGGCCTCCCTGGAGGGCGTCTTGGAGGGCTCTCGGGCCCTCTTGGAGGCTTCTTTGGAGCCTTTGGGGCCGTCTTAGACCATCTTGAGGCTATGCTCGGCCGTCTTGGAGGCCATCTTGGCCTCTTGGAGGCCATCTTGGCCGTCGTGAGGGGACTTGTGGGGTGTCTGGAAGGTCCGAGGGATGCTTTGGAGGACTCTTTCCAGGTCTCCGCCGGTGCCCCGGGAGGGCCTGGAATTATCTGATGCCCATCTCTGTCGGGTTTTTCCGTGTCATGTAATAAGGATAAGGAATGTACATATGTGTATATGTATGTATGTCAGTGTGTGTATATACATATACACATATCAGGCTCTCTTTCTGTCGGTTTGTCTGACTCTTTCTCTCTTTCCATAGTAATCCTCATGCGCGTGCTTCTGTCCCCCCTCACTGGCGCCGCAGAAATCCTGCAGGTTGGCCAGCATCCCGGCGTTAGCCCTAGTCAGCCTGTTTTTGCCGCTCACGTCGTATCCCCCTGAGGCCAGTGGCTTCGATGGTGTGCGGCCTGCTGATCAGACTCCTCCTCCAGCATGGTGTGCCTCTCAGGCGGAGGTGTAGCCGTAGAGCACACGGGTCCTGCTGATGTTGAGACGGCCGCGGCAGACTGCGGCGCGCCTGTGAGGCGCCTGCCCCAGGGGCGGCCGCTTGCTGCTGCCGCCCTCCAAGGTTCAACACAGAAGGCAGGCCCTCGGGGGCGGGAGGCGGGCGGGCGGCAGCCGAGTGTGCGGGCTGTCGGGCACGCGAGAACCGAGGCTGCGAGGTCGCGGCAGGGCAGACAGGCAGAGGCTGTTGGGGCAGTCGGCTTGCAAGCGGGCAGCCGACGCTGCTCTCTCTCTTGCTCTCTCTCTCTCTCTCTCTCTCTCTCTCTTTCTCCAGGGGCGCCCTCGGGGGCGCGAAGTTGGCCGTGCTTCGCGCTCCACGGTTCGGCTCCGACTCCTGATTCTCCTCTTCTCCTTTGGGGGGCGGCGCGAGCGCGCGAAGTTAATTCGCGCTTCGCGCGGCGCGAAGCGCGAAGTTAGGCGCCCTCGATCTCTCTCTCTCTCTCTCTCTCTTTCTCTCTCTTTCTTGTTCTGAGTCTCTTCGTGGCGTGCCTGAGCACCGCCGTGCTTCAGCTCGACTCGGTGGCCAGCGGATCCGAGGTCTCGGGGTCGAGGTGGTCAGAGATGTCCAGTCTTCTGTGGGGCGGACCGCCCCCGCTCCTGGGCTCGAGAGGCAGTGGTCGGAACTGAAGTTCGAGTGGTGGGGGCCTCCCTGCCCTCCACCCCTCCTCCTGCCTGCGTCCTGCTTCCTCCTTCTTTCCTCCTGCTTTCTTCCTCCTCCTCCTCCTCCTCCTCTTGCTCTTCTCCTCCTCCTCCTCCTCCTCCTCCTCCTCCTCCTCCTCCTCCTCCTCTTCCTATATCTATTTTTCTCCCCACGGCCCCGATCCGAGAAGCAGAACTCCAGCGTGACGAAGGGCGCCAACGCCTCCAAGGACGGCGGCCCGCTTTCGAATTGTCGCGTAGACCCAAGGATCCCAGTGCAAATCCCCCGCTGGGGTAGCTGATCCGGCAATTCCATCACCAATCTACCGATCTCATTGTCAATCGACCGATCTCACTTACAACAGCATCAACATACCGGTCGATCTTACGATATGTCGACCTGCAACGGGAAGCGTTGAAGAACGGTATTCTTGGGATATGCACCGAAAGGTGTTATGTGGAGTTCTTGACGCTTCGCGTGTCCCCACCAGTCCATCCAGATACGATCGAGGTTTTCTTGAGACCTCTTGGAGGTTATCTTGAGCCATGCTCGGCTAGTGGCTGTCGGAGGCTATCTTGAGCCATGCTCAGCTAACTTGGGCCATCTTGAGGCTGTCTCGAGGCCTCTTGGAGGTCTGTCTGAGGCTGTCTTGAGCCATGACCGACCTCCTTGGACCATCTTGGGGGTTGGAGGAGAAAGAGGAGGAGGAGGAGGAGGAGGAGGAGGAGGAACAAGAGGGAAGGGTGAGGAGGGGGGGAGAAGAGGGGGAGGAGGCGGAGGAGGAATACAGAACGAGGAAGATGGGGAGGAGAAGGAGGAGGAGGAGGAGGAGGAGGAGAAGGAGGAGGAGGAGGAGGGAGGAGGCAGGAAGGGAGGAGAGAAGACGCGGACGATGACAAGGAGGATGAGAAGTCAGGTTTGGGAGATGTGTTGCTATGAGAGGTTCTCGAAGAATGACTGAGTCCATCTTAGGGGCTCTCTTGGGGTCCCCGTGGGGTATCTTGGGGCACTCTTGGGACCCGCTTGGAGCTCGTTTGAGGGTCTTGGGGCCCTCTCGGGGCTCATTGGAGGGGTCTGAGAGGCCTCTTGGGCCCCATGGCTCCAAAAGAGCTCAACCACTACGACGTGGGGCCCTCTTGGGCCGCTCTTTGAGCGCTCTTGGGCGCTCTTGGGCCCCTCTTTGGGCCCCTCTTGGACCTGTACTGATTCGTTTGGGGACCGTCTTGAGGCTCAAGCACCCATCGGAAGCGAAAACGCGAGAACGCGAAAGACAGTGACTTACTTTAGGTTTCGGATCCATTTTGGCTAACAGGAGGCCGTATGAGGGTCCGATGAGCGACCCAAGGCGGCTACGATGGGCCCAAGATGGCCTTCTTCTTCATCCGTGACGGCGACGGCAGCGGAATAATCATTTTCCGAGCATTATGGGGGCCGTCATTTGTCCATTATTGGGAGAGGGATATTCAACACTTGTAGCGTTTTATATAGATTCCCCATTCAGGGCTTGCCTCTGTAGGGGTCCTAGTGGATTCATATGGTTAGGTGAGCTTTGCCACCGATTTCCGCGGCCCGCCCGGGTGCCCGGTTGCCTTAGCCCCATAGCCCTATAGCCCTATAGTCCTATAGTTCTATAGCCCTACAGTCCTATATCCCTATAGCCCTACAGCACTGTAGCCCAATACCCCTATAGCCCCATAGCCCAATAGCCTTATAGCCTTGTAGGTCTATAGTACTATAGCTCTATAGCCCCATAGCCCTATAGCCCAGTACCCCTATAGCCCAATAGCCCTATAGCCACATAGCCTTATAGCCCGAGAGCCCTAGAGTCCTAGAGCCCTAGAGCCCTAGAGCCCTGTAGCCCTACAACCCTATAGCCCTACAGCCCTATAGCCCTAGGGCCCTGTAGTCCTAGAGCCCAATGGCCCTAGAGCCCTATAGCCGTACAGCCCTATAGCCATATAGCCCTAGAGCCCTATAGCCTTGTAGCTCCTTAGCCCCAGAGCCATATAGCCCCATAAGCCTATAGCCCAACAGCCCTATACCTCTATGGCCCTACAGTCCTGTAGCTCTGCAGACCTATAGCCCTATGGCCCTATAGCCCCATAACCCTATAGCCCATAACCCTGTAGCCCAATAGCTCCGTAGCCCTATCGCCGTAAAAAAACAAAATGATTGGGTTGTTCTCCGGTATCACCTATCTACATATATATATATATATATATAGATATGAATATAAATCGACCTTACAGTTTTCATTGTTGATGGATCTACAGGCGGACTAACCGCAGGACAACCACTGGACAACCACAGAACAAGAACAGCACAACCTCGGGACGACCACGGGGCAATCACGGGACAACCACGGACAACCACGGGACAATTGCGGAGCAACCACGGGATTTCCGCGGGACCTCCGCGGGACAACCCCGGGCACGCCACCGGACAGCCACACGTCAGCCACAGTCACGTGGCAATTCCAGGACAGCCCCGCGCAGGCGCCCCGGATGTCCGCGATGCATTCTGGCGCTGCTTGGGCACAGGCAGGCGAGGAGCTCGCGGTGCGTCGCCTCGCTCGCACGGCACGGATCGAAGCCGGAGCCGATTTCCCGGTGGTAGGGGGCTTCCACTTCGCTTCATCCAGGCCTTCTAGATGGGGTCGGAGTGGACGGGGTCGGAGGATCGCGCCGCATCGCCGATGCACCGCCGATGCGGCTCGATGTGGAGCCCGATTTGCTTCACGTCGACGTCACCGATGCATCGCCCACGTCGACGATGCATCGCTGGTGCATCGCCGATGCATCGCCGACGCATCGCCGATACATCGCCGATGTATCGGCGATGCGGCTCGATCCTCCGACCCCATCTTCTCCGACCCCATCTAGGAGGCCTCTACTTCAGTCTCACCCCTCCTAGGCTCCGATCCTCGGGGGCCCCCAGACGGGGCGGTGACCACACAGTGCGGTGAGTCGGTGGGGATTCGGGGTCACCGCACGGTTTTGGGGCTCGAGTCCCCCTCCGAGGATGTCTCGGGCGACAGGGGCCTCCAGGGTCCCGAAAACGTGCGGTGACGGACCGTACGGTGAGTTCTTGGAGGATTTCGAGGTCACCGCACGGTCTGTCACCGCACCGTTTCGAGACTCCAAAGGAAGAGGAGGAGGAGGAGGAGGAGGAGGAGGAGGAGAAGGAGGAGGAAGAGGAGGTATAGGAGAAGGGGAAGACAGAGGATGGGGGGAAGTGAGAGAGGGACAGCACCCTCCGAAAGGCGCGCGGCTCCACAGTCCCCCGTTCTCTCCGCCCCTCCCGGGCTCCGAGCCCCGCTGGGGGGCTCGGTGCTGTGCCGGCGTCGCCCCGGCCCCCGCGTGCAGTGCGGAGGCGGAGGCAGGGGGCGATGGCAGGAGGGCGGGGGCACGAAGGGGGGGAGAAGCGGAGGAGGAGGAATGAGGAGGAGGAGGAGGAGGAGGAAGAGGAGGAGGAGGAGGGGGAGGAGGAATGAGGAGGAGGAGGGGGAGGAGGAGGAGGAGGAGGAGGAGGAGGAGGAGGAGGAGGAGGAGGAGGAGGAGGAGGAGGGCTGGCCCCCCGAGCCTGACGTGAGCACGTGCTCGCATGAAGTCGGGCCTGTCCCTCGACAGGAGGAGTGTTCCAAAATAGTCCAGAAATAATTGGGGGACGCTTTTATCAGCATTTTTTGACCTCTTGGGGGTATTTGGGGGGTATTTTTCATTTCTCTTCCCAAATACGCATGTAGGGGGACGTGCCCGACCTGATACTCGCATCGTGTGCTTTCTCTCGCTCTGCGCCCTGCGTTTGCTCCGGCGTCGATCCTCGTCCTCCCTGGAAGTGGGCGGGGGAACTCGGAGCAGCGAGGGTGGCGCTTCCGCCGACGTCGCCAGCAGCTCACCGGCGCGTACTCAACTCGGCACAACTTTCGGCGCCTCTGCTGGCCTGAAGGCGGAGCTACCTGTGTGTGAAGTCCGCTCACTTCCCTATTACATCCCTTCCGCATTTGTATTGGCTCAGGTATTGGCGAACTAAATCTTTGTGCACTGCTTGCTGCGCAGTGCCTTGGAGAAAGGAGTTCCACTCCTTGCCTCTACCTACGGACCCCGTACGGGAGCGGCCCCTCGGCCGTCTCCCTGTACTCACACTACCTTGTACGACGGGCTTGCTCTTTCAGGCGAATTCTCTCTGCGAGGGCGGCCATCCTGGTCTTAAGTCGGGCCTGTCCCTCTACAAGGGGAAAATCAAAACAAAAAAATAGTCGGGGGACTATTGTTAGAGTATTTATTGACCATTTAGGATTATTTTTTGAGTATTTCTTATTTTTCGTCGAAAAGCCCTCTGTAGGGGGACACGCCCGACGTAATCCTGGTCTCAAGCGACGGCGGACCATCCGACGACACGACCCCAGACGACGGGACGACCACACTACTGACCTCTGGGATTGGCTGCCTCTGGCTACACTGACACCAAGTCGTGGTGCGGGGAGGGTGGCATCAATCAGTCGGGCAAGCCTCTTGTGGGGACCTACACCTTCGCGAAGATCTGTCAACATTTCGAACTCTTTCCTTGTGGGGGGCTCGCAGGGTCGTCTTACTTCGCTGCGCCTGGACTGAGGAAGTGGAGCTGGAGGGACGAGGAAGAACGACGACGAGGAGAAGGTTGTAAGGTGTACGGGAGGGAAAGATTTCAAGCGAGGAGTCTCGAGGGTTGTTGGGAAGGAGGAGAGGAGGTGGATGGTGATGATGATGATGATGATGATGATGATGATTATGATGATTTTGATGATGATGATGATGATGATGATGATGATGATGGTGATGGTGATGTTGATGGTGATGGTGATGGTGATGGTGATGAGGATGAGGATGATGATGAGGATGAGGATGAGGTTGCGGATGCGGATGCGGATGAGGATGAGGATGAGGATGAGGATAAGGATGAGGATGAGGATGAGGATGAGGATGAGGATGAGGATGAGGAGGATGAGGAGGATGAGGAGGATGAGGATGAGGATGAGGATGATGATGATGATGATGATGATGATGATGATGATGATGATGAGGAGGAGGAGGAGGAGGAGGAGGAGGAGGAGGAGGAGACGATGGGGGCATCACGCAGCCAGGGGCTCTGCTAATGTTTTCGTGGGTTTGGCGAGGGAGCCGACTGGCCAGCTTGCGATCTGGAAATGGAACGCTTTGCCGCAGGTCTGCGTTTCGCTGGGCGGGGCCATTCGCGCACAGATCCCCCCTCCCCGCGCACACTTCCTGGTTGAAGGGCGACGACGATGGCGGCGGCGACGTTGACGTCTACGATAGCGTCGCCATCCCGAATCATCCGCCGTGCAGTTCAGACCCCCCCGCGCGCGCATCGCCCAGGCAGACGACGATGACGACGACGACGCCGCCATCCCGAAGCACCTGCCGCACTATCCGCCCGGGGGTGGCTACTCCGAGGCGGAGCGCGAGGCCAACGAGAAGGCGAGCGGGCTGGCCAGGTGGCGCAAGCTCTTCGCTTCCGGCCGTGGTCTTCCCCCTCTTCCTCCTCCTCGTCCTCCTCCTCCTCGTCCTCCTCCTCCTCCTCCTCCTCCTCCCCCTTCTCCTCCCCCTCCTCCCCCTCCTCCCATTCCTCCGACTCCTCCTCCTCCTCCTCCTCGTCCTCGTCCTCCTCCTCCACCTCCTCCTCTCCGTGGGGAGGGGGATCGAGGACTGCGGGAGCGTGGCCCTGAAGGGCACCCGCGGGCCCAAAAGGTGGGCGTAAGGTGCACGTGCCTTCATCCCACGTGTACTGTCCACCCGTCCACGAACGCCGGAGACTTCCCCCGGACTTCGGAGGGCTCCCCCGGCCGTTGATGGGCCTGTTCTCCGCCATCACCACCATCAGTTGGAGGGGGGAAAGATGTGGAGGACGATGAGGAGGAGGAAGAGGAGGAGGAGGAGGACGACCCCCTCCCCCTCCTGCTTATGGTGGTGGCGGTGGAAAGCAAGCCCCCAGACTTAAGTCGGGCCTGTCCCTCTACAGTACAGGAGGTATATTCAAAATCGTCAAACAGCAGCCTGGGGACTATTTTTCGGCATCTTTTGAGCATTTGTGTTTGCGTATCTTGCATTCTTTTTCCTCCAAAAAATTCCCCTGTAGGGGGACAGGCCCGACCTAACCCCAGACGTTCCTTGGTCGCTCCCCTGCCCCCCCCCCCGCGGCGAAGGCCTCGCGCAGAGCGGCCAGGGGCGAGCCGCGACCCGCGCCCGGCACCCCCGAGCCGCCGCCTCGGACTGGCTCCCGCGGCCCCCCCCTCTTCAGGGGCAACGATAGGGTTCTGTCGGAGGGAGAGGGAGAGGGAGGGAGAAGGATAGAGAGAGAGAGGAGGCAGGGGAGGGAGAGGGGCGGCCAAAAATTACCTGAGAATGAGCCTAAGCTTAAGTCGGGCCTGTCCCCCTACAGGGGGATTTTGGACGAAGAATAAAACATATCCCCAAAAGTACCCCAAGAAAGTAACACAAATGCTTAAAAAAATAGTCCCCGGGCTATTTTTGGGCTATTGTTTGATTGTTTTTGGAGGTATTTTTGGTTTTTCGTAGAAAATCCCCCTGTAGGGGGACAGGCCCGACCTGAGGATAGGCATAGGGGGGGATGCATCGCCACGCAGTCGCCCATTGATCGCCGACAGGGGCCGGACAGCCCCAAGCTGCCCAGGAGGGTGCGGAGTCGCTGGTTCTCGGGGGCCCATCGCCGATCTATCGGCGACGTATTGCCGATTCCAGGTCGATGCATCCCCCCCATGCCAGTCCCCCCCTATCGTTGCCCCTCACCCCCTCTCCTCGGGAGTCGGCCAGGCGCCCACACGTCGTCGGGCTGAGTGCATCTTCATGCAGAGAAGGGAAGAGGTACCCCTACCTCTGCCCTGCGCCCGCTTTTTCCCCTTCTCGGGCCTCCTGGGGGTGGCCCTCGTCGCCACCGCTGGATTCGCCTCAAGATTCTGGTCAGCACGCACCCCAGGAGAGGTCCGGGGAGCAGCGGTATTGGTACATTTCGATTTCGCCAGTCATACAGTGGAGGACCATGCCAAGAAACGCCCTGCTTGCCTCCAGGGTGCCCTGGGCTTCTTGGGTTTCGATGGCTTGTCCGTGGAAATCGTGACGCTCCCGCGCCAAGCATCGATGGACGTCCTGGGGTCTCAGGGTTGGGTTTCCTGTGGGAGGTTTCTTGTGGACTGGCCTCCACTGCAGGGACCCCCTCCAGGCGGAGGCCCGCGGCGGGCATTCTTTGCACGGGGAGGCTGGATGCACAGGACGTGGCCGGCACGGGCGAGAGCTGGATGCATTTTTTTTACCGTCCAGCGAAGCCCAGTGGCACAGGAGGACGCAGCAGAGGGGGAGGAGGAAGGGGGAGGGGGAGACCGGGGGGAAAAACCGCAGCCCCTGGGGAGGGCGAGAGTTCATTCGCTCAATTAGTCCGGCGGGCCGGGGCGCTCCTGCAGCCGGCGGCGAATCGCCGCGCGCCAATCGGCCACACCTGTGGCCGCACGTCTTCCCGGCGTGCGGCCCTCGTGTGGCCAGGGAGGGCGATCCCCCGCGTGCATCCAGCACGGGGCCTCCGCGTGTGCCACATGTGAGTCCAGCCGCGCGCGTGTGTGTGCGTGCGTGCGTGCGTGTGTGTGTGTGTGTGTGTGTGTGTGTGTGTGTGTGTGTGTGTGTGTGTGTGTGTGTGTGTGTGTGTGTGTGTGTGTGTGTTCCAGCCTCCGCAGGGAGAGGCAGCCCCTCACGAATCCTTCCTATGTGTGTGAGTGTGTGTGTGTGTGAGGGGAGATGTGACCTTTCCTAGGTGGGTGAATATCGCTCCCCTGCACGCCCCTGGGCCGACGCCCACCGCCCTTGCTCGGAATCGTAACTTACACGTCTGGCCTGACGGTGAAGGCTCCCCGCTGGTGTGGCCCCCTGAGCCTGCAGCGCCTCTTTCTGCGCCCCTCTGGGCCACAGTGCGTCGCTCCCTGGCGGAGATCCATCCCCGGAGGGATTTGGAAGCTGGACAGGCCCCGGGTCCGCCGAATCCACCCCTGGTCAAAGCACCATCGTCGTTCCCCCCGGGCAAACTTGAGAACGAGAAGGAGACATCGATGACAAGAGCATTCGATCCTGTGAGCCCGATGCGAAATGTGTGTGTGTGTGTGTGCGCGGGCGGAGACCACCGAAAGAATACTGGACGCTTGCTGTAACCCCACCGGTTTCTCTCTCGTCCTCGTTCTCCTTCTTCGTTTCTTGCCCTCGGCCGCCTCGTCGCTCCTGCCTGTCTCTGTCTCCGCTCTGTAGCTTTCGCCACCCTTGTGGCCCTTTTCCGCCTCACGCTTGCGACAGCAGTGCTTGCGCTTCTCTGTCGGCTTTACCTGACGGCGCGCGGCTGACCGCGTCGTTCGCGAGCGAAAAGTAACCCCACCGGCGTCTGTCTGTACCCAGGGAAGTCGTCACCGTGTCCTGGTTCCGCGCCATCTCGGCCGCGATGAGCTCAGCGGGGCTTCTGATGGGGCCGCTCCTGCTCGCTGTTTTTCCTTCCGTCGGCGCGTAGCCCGCTCGTCCTGCACGGCTTTCGACTTATTTCGCGATCCTGCGTACCAAAAAGTAAACCCCACCGGCCCATCGAGAAACGATGCACATACGAGCAGTCTTGGTCAAGGATGTGGAGGAGCATGAAGTGGAATAAAGGACTTGGTAAGACGTCCTACCCCAAGGAATCGGATGAGCAGGAGGAGGAGAAGAAGTACCAGTGCAAACCCAAGGCCCCATCAACGATGCTGCAGTACCCTCCCTCTAAGGTCCCTTTTTCATAGGCCCTTACAAGGGTTCGTGTTCACTGAATGAAAGTGCCAAGTCGGAAATCAACCGTTTGAACACCTTAAGCGCACCAAAACACAAAAATGGTGATGTCAACGCTACGAATCAACCTGACTGTTACGTCGTGACGATCCTGCATCGTGCCAGAATACCAGTCCCGGGACTTCAACACCACGAAGTTACGTATTTGTGTCACCCTGACAATCCGACATCGTTCCAAAACACCATCTCTTGGACGCTAGCAATGAGACGCCTTGACATTTTTGCAAACTTGAAGAACGAATGTTCGCGGCGCTAAGTCGAGAGAAACATTTTGAAACGGAGCCGCCCTCCATCCGTGAAGCTCTTGCAAATGTTCGAGGCGAATGTATACGGCCTGCTGCGAGACGGACATTTTGAAAACCACTTGCCCTCCCAGCCGTTAAGTTTTGCAAGTCTACAACAAATAATGTGTGCCGCGTTGAGGCGAAAGCCACATGTTGAAAACAAACTGCCCGCAATCAGTGAAACTGTTGGAAATTGTTCAGACGGATGTGCGCGGCGCTTTCGCGAGAGCCACATGTTGAAAACGACCCGCCCGCCATCCGCGAGTCTGTACCCAATTTTCAGCTCCAGGGCCATGAGTGGTACGGAACTCTCAGGCGAAACGCCCGGCCTGCCCTTTCGACCGGCCTCGGGGTGCGATAAGAAGGGAGCTATTTCAGGCAAAGAGATGAAGAAGAAGGAGGAGGAGGATGGAGGAGGATGGAGAGAGGGGGTTTGGAAGCAGGTAGGAGGAAGGATGAGGGGCAGGCGGATGAGGAAGAGGAGGAGGAGGAGGAGGAAGAGGAGGAGGAGGGCGAACAGAAAAAGGCAAGACACCTCTTGCATGCCCCTCGGTCGGGGTCTGTTCGGATTTCTTACGAGAGCTTCGTGGAGTCCTCTTGGGATGTCTTCGGCCTCGTGGGGTGTCTCGGGTGCCTCTGGGGAGCCTCTTGGGGGCCTCTCGGGGGCACCTTGGTGGCCTCTTGGGGGCGTCTTGGGGCCTCCTGGGCACCCCTCGGGGCCGTCTTGGGGCACCCTTGGGAGCCTCGGGTCGGAGGCCGTCTTGGGCCATTTGGGAGGAGATCGATCAAAGGAGGGGCCGTAGTAGCGTAGTACATTAGAGTTCCCACCTCCGGGAGGCCACAATGTGCCAAAACCTTTTTGTATCATCAGTGATTTTGGTTTTCTCGCCGAGACCTCTGGGGGCGTCGTGGGTGCCTCTTGGGCGCCTCTTGGGGCCTGTTGGGGTTCTCTTGGGAGCCTCTCGGGGGCCTCTTGGGGCCTCATGGGCACCTCGCGGGGCCGTCTTGGGGCACCCTTGGGAGCCTCGGCGGCCATCTTGAGGCCATCTTGGAGGAGATCGGTCAAAGAAGGGTGACTCCTTAATTATGGTCCTTCCCCAGGAGGCCACCATGTGGCCAAGACCTTAGTAACATCAGTAAGTTGGGCCTTCTCGTCGGGACCTCTTGGGGCGTCTTGGAAGCCTCTGGGGCGCCTCTTGGGGGCTCTTGGGGGCCTCTTGGGGGCATCTTGGGGGCCTTCGGGGGGCCTGTTGGGGCCTCCTGGGCACCTCTTGGGCTGCCTTGGGGCACCATCGTGGGACCACCTTGGAAGAGATCGATCAAAGTAGGGGAGCTCCTCAATTAGGCCCCCTCCCCCCAGAGGCCGAACTGCGGCTCAAACCTTAGTGCGATCAATGATTTTGGTTTCCTCGCCGAGGCCCCCCCAAAAAACCCTCTGACACCTCGCGACCCCCCCCCGTCCAGACCTAGGGGGAGGGGGTTTTGGGTGGGGCGAAGCCCTCCCCGAAGGGGAAGACGGGGGTTGGAAGAGGAAGCTCCCTCTGAATCACTCAGTCCCCAAAGGGCCGGTGGAAGTCGGAGCGTCGCCGCGTATGCGTCTGTCCGTCTGCGCCTGTGTGCGTTTGTTTGTCTTCCTTGTTCGTCCGCCCGTCCGTCTGTGGAAGGAGGGGCAGGAAGTGGAAGAGTGGGCGCAGGAGGAGGAGGAGGATGAGGAGGAGGAGAAGGAGGAGGAGGAGGAGGGGGACGAACGCATTGGGGGGTCGAGCATATGTCGGTGTCGTGAGGGGTCGGAGCCCCCCTTTCGCCACCTCGAAGGCGATGCAGTCGATGCAGAGCAACTTCGAGGGCGAGATGTCCCATTACCAGGCCGCAGCGGTCGAGTTCTCCGCCGAGACGGGCAAGGGTCAGGCTGGCCGCATGCGAAAGAAGGGATCCAGGCAGAAACACACCTTACGGCCACTATGTCATGTGCAAACGGCTAGACTTGTTCCCTGTGGAAGTCGAACTTCACCATTTCAGTGAAACGTGTCACGCCTCGCAACAAGAGGAACTTGACAGGAGTCCAGGGTCTGCACTGTGTACCAGCAAGCAGATAGCTGTCGGGCAAGTAGTTCTCGCACGACTGCGGGTGCAGCCTTCATAGCAGGCCAGCGCCTGCAGCAAGAGGTCCTGCCGGTCGATCTCGCACGGGCACGTGTCTGTAAGCACGTCTTGTGTACCGACCCGTTGGACGGGCATGTCCTCGAGGCGTCGTGGGGCCGACATCGCCAGGGGCTGCGTTGCACTGCACTCGCCGGCCGGGCGGAGTCTCATAGTGCACCCGAGAAGCCAGAGTCATCGAATTTGGGGCTATGCCGTTGCGATCCGAAGGGGGTGCCTGGCCTTCGTTGCACCGTTGCTTGGCCCCAAATGCGTGGCCATGAGGGGGGGTCGGCCTTCGATGCACCGTGGTGTGACCCTGGTGGCGTGGTCTACGGAGCCAGACTCGGGAACCCCTCTTCTTTGTTCAGATTTTCCTCCAGTCCTCAGGCGGATCCAACGAAGCAAAAGAAGCGTTGAAGAAGCTCCCAAGACTCCCCTACACGTCGCCAGGATCCCCAACTTCATTGCTACAGGTCCCAATGCCAACCCCGAAGGAGCTCCAGATTCGCCCCTGCTCTCCTCATTTGCAACTTCCGATTCGAGTTCCGTGTGTGCGGGTCGAAGCTAAGCGTGCGCAAATCGCGCGCGTGGATATCCACACGCACCTGTAGATTTTATAGTGGAGCAAGAGTTCAGTCTTAAGCGGGTGAATTCTTGAGAATTCACGAGGCCTCTGGGAAATATGGTGAAGACCCTTGGGAGCCTTTGTGTGAGGCTTTGGGGGCCCTCTTGGGGCTCGCTTCGCGGAGTGGGCCGCCGCGCCTGGCGAGGCCAGAGCCGAGGTGGACATGCAGAGTTCGTGCGACAGCGTTCGCACCAAATTTTGAACATGGCATTTGTGCGCGTTTGTAGCGTATGTTGCAACATTTTTGTCGCGCCAGAGCTGTTACACCGCCGAAAGTTGTCATGAGCCCGTGGTCGTTGCGGGGACAAAAAACAGAATTCGCACGACACGGTTGCTCACCCGGTTGCGACCGATGCCCTCCGCCGCTGAAGGTTCGCCTCCGACCGTGGTGCGCGTTCCAGTGTAGACCTAGCGCGCGCCCCGGTCCTCTGCGGTGGGGGGCTGTTTTTCGCGCCTACAGCGGCCCCCTCCGCTTTTCTGCTTCACAATCGTGAGGCTTCTGTTTTCTGCCTCACAGTCGTGGGGCGCTTTGTTTTCCGTTTTTCTTTCAATAATTACCGAATGGCTGCCAATTGCGCGCTCTTCTGCCCACGCGTCCTTCCGGATGCTTGGCTCTGTGGTGGTGGTGGAGCGGCCCCCTCCGCCCGGTTCGGGGGGCTTCGCAGGCCTAGAGGTTAACACCAACACCAATATCGGCGGTGTGCTTCCACCGAGGGAAGAGGATCTCGATCTCTGCGATGGTGGTGATACTTTGGCTTCCAAGGTGACCGACACAGCACCACCAACGCGGAAATCTAGGATCATCGTCCCCCTGTGGAGGCAGCCCCCTGTGTTGGTGTTTGTGCCCATTTCCAGGCCTCCGAGGGCTGCCAGCGGGTTGCCCACGCAGCGGGGGCACCCTCGGCTGCGCTTTGGCCCCGTGGCACGCCCAGCTCCGGTCCCTCCGGACCCCCATGGGGCGTGGTCGTATGTGGACGACAGGTCGGTGAAGGCTGCGGACACGGCGGCGCGGGACGCCGCTCTCGCCGCCACCGAAGCTCTCCACCCCCTCCTCGGCTTGGTTGAAGACCTGGGCAAGAGGCAGCTAGGGGAGGAGCGGGGACCGCCGAACACTTCGGCATCCGTGGGGCCGCGTCTTCGGGCCGCGCCCACCCCCCGTTTCCCCTGCCCGGGAACGGCTGGGGCAAGGTGACTCAGCTCACCACGCGCCTTGCTGCCCTCCCACGGTCCACGCATGGGCGGCCCCATTTGTCTGTTCCCCGCCAGCAGATTCACGCGCCTGACGTTCCGCAGCGTTTCGCGCACGTGCTGCAAGTGGCGGTGCCAGCGCAGGTGGTGGTCGGCGGGACGGCTGGCCCTGCACCCAGTTTTCGAGACCTCCCTGCAGGCGGTGAGGGCTGCCATCGATTATCCCACCTCGCCGTTGTGGCTTTCCCTGTGGGCCACCACGCCGACTCTTTCGGGCTTCGCCTGGTTCCGCCTGTCCCCCTCTCCGGGGTCTGGGTGGCGGTTGGTGGGCTCGTCGGCCTGCGCTCCCAGGCTGCCGCGCGCGGTGTTGCAGTCCCGCCCGCCCTGGCCGCTCTCTTGGGGCACCCGGTCCTTGCGGGCGCCTTTGACGTTCTTAGCTGGATACCCAGCTGGGGATGCCAGCCGTTGGCCAGGGTCTCCAGATGGAGACCCTGGCCAACGCGCCTGGAGACCCTGGCCAACGCGCCCTCCGGGTCCTTGCCAGGCGCCTCCATTTGCAGCGTCGCCAAGGCGCCCGGCTTCCGGCACGACGAGGAGGGGATCGAGGTCGTCGACGTCGAGGCCTCAAGTACCCCTGCGTGGCGGGATTGGCGCCGGGCTTCTGCCTTCAGTTTCGGTCGCTGCTTAGCGCGTGGACGCGTGGAGGGGCGGGGTCGCTCGGACCCCCGCCCGCCATGGGCGCGGCAAGCACGCCAACGTTCGCCCTTGGTGCCCGGCGCTGCTCTGGTCAGCCTGGGCAGCAGGCCTTCGCTTCTGCGCATTCCCGCGCCCGCCTCGGCGCCGAGGTCGGGAGCCCTTCGGACTGGTGGGAGGCCCAGCCTCAGGTCACGGCCACATCCGGCTGGATCGCGATTCGGGCGGGCCGAACCCTCGGTCGCAGCTGCAGGCCGCGGCCCCCAGGGGGGGCGGCCCTGGGGGGGACCCCAGCGGCGGCCCCCGACGCCCCCCCGCCCCCCGCGTGGCCCCTGGTTATTGGTGGTGCTTGTGTCCCGCGTGGCTGCATTTGCACGGTTCCTGCCGGCATGGAAAGCCCCCGCGCCTCCGCCCCTCGTCGGTGACCAGCGGCCACCTGGTTTGCCCGTGGTTTTTTTGAGTAATTGACGTCCGCGGGCCGCGTGGCCCGCGCGCGCAGTCGCCAGCGCCGCCGTTCAAAGCGGCGGCGTGCCCGATTGATTTATGATTTTCTCCCAGCAGCCAGGACAGGCATCCTGCTGCTTTCCGTGTGCGCGGGTCCTTGGGGGCCCTGTTGGAGCCGTCTTGGAGGCCGTCGATGTCATGCCCCCCCCCCTTCCCCTTGGAGCCAGAATGATATCTTCTTGGGACCTCATGGGGCGCTCTCTAGGCCTTTGGGGCCCCATCGAGGCCCTGTAATTTGGCCTTTTCCGGTGTTTTGCTGGGGCGTTGGAGCCATCTTGAGGCTTCAGAGGCCCATAGGAAGCGCAAGGGTGAGAATGCAAACATCATTGGACAAAACTTGGATTTTGAGTTGTGTCTTCGGGGCATCCTTGGGGGTACCCGTGACTACGTGGAGCCGTTTTCGGGCCTCCTGGAGGCATGCTGGCAATCATTTTGGGGTATCCTGTGCCATGTCGTAGGCAGCGTTCGTGGGCAATTTGAAGCTATATTGGGCCATACTTGACTTTCGAACCCGTTGCGAAACCCTTGTCCCACCCCCGAAGAAGGACTTCGTAGCTGGAGCGGGAGTCCTCGAACTGCCCTTCGACCGCAACATTGGCGCGTCACGCTCCTGGTGTGTCTTCTCGTCGGCGAGGCAACACACGGCGAGGCGGCTTCCAAGGTAGCCGCCTAAGTTGCACGCGATGGTCCGAGAGGGCCACCATTAGGTTTCCAAGAGGCCCCCGGGCCGCCACCAAATCAGAGGTGCCCTCGCGCCCTAGGTTCTCTGCCCGCGTACGAGCACCTTCACCCTCGGCCTGCTAGTCCGACTGCGCTCCGCCTGGGACGGCAGGGCGAAGCAAGCAACGAGACGAGGATCGGAAGCGACGACGTTTCTCGGAGACAACGACGATGGCGACGGCACCTCATAAAAAGGAGCAAGCACACACGGCATGCCAGCACGTCTGTCCAGCACTGCGTCCCAGCGCACTCGCCAGCTGGATCTCCTAAACTTGCCGCCCTTCCCCAGCTCCAGGAGCAGAAGCAGAGGCTGCGGCAGCAGCGTCGACGGCAGCAGCCGCCCCGTCGGGCCACGAACATGTAGACTAACACTCCGGCCGCGGCCGCAACCGAGCCCATCATGGCACCCCGAACGCGCGAGGATGAAGAGGCTTTTGCGGGGTGGGGTTCGGGGCCTGCCCTCGGTGGCCTGGGGGGGTGGGGCGGGGAGGCGCCGCCTCGAAGGAGGAGGAAGCGTGGGGAGGGGGCGCGAGGGCTGCAGGGACAGAGAATGGACGGTGTGGAGGGAGGAGGAGGCGGAGGAAGAGGAGGAGGCGGAGGAGGAGGAGGAGGAGGAGGAGGAGGAGGAGGCGGAGGAAGAGGAGGAGGAGGAGGCGGAGGAGGAGGAGGAGGAGGAGGAGGCGGAGGAGGAGTGCGAATTTCAGCGCAGGGTTGGGGAAAGCGTCGGTGTACAGAGTTCGTGTCCCTAGTAAGGCCATGGAGGCGGCATCTCCCAGTGATCGGGGGCGGAAAGGAGGGGGGTGATGACTAGGGGGGGTGGATATCATGGCGTGGGCCATGATATTTCCCCAGATGTCATGGCGCCTCTTCTCATCTCATTACGTCCCTGGCCCCCCCGCTGGGCCGCGCACATGCCGCCGGTCATGATTTGCACCCCCCCCTCTTGGACACACCCCTCTTGGCCGCTCCCGAAGTGATCCTTGTACGGGGGGCCCTCCTCTCTCCTGCCACCAGTCTCGGTCTGGGGCGCAGAGTTGGAGGTACGGGCTGTCTTCGGGTGGACACCGACACACCGAGCGCGTTGACCGCCACGGTCCTGCACTGTATATCTCGGGAGGGGGAAAAGCACACAGACACAATCAATCGTCGATCCCCCGGAATATATGGGAAAACATGGGAGGTGGGGGGGAAGACAAAAACCCAGAATATATAGGAAAATATGGGGAATCCTGTTAGTTGTGTGTATTTATTTGTGTGTCCCAGGGCCCCTTCAATATCTGCATTTCCATCGCACTTCAGTGGCGTCCGGCCAGAAACATGTTCAGTCATCTGAGCGCCAGGAGTTTGATGGCTGACTTGCTGCCCTGAGGGAGGGTACGCCCTGCCCTCGATGAGGGCCCTTGCCGTGGGAGGGACCGGGAATACGGGGGTGGGCGGGGCATCCTTGCGTTACGTGGCCACGCGGCACACTCTGGGTGCTTTATTCATTCCTCTCACTGTCACTGAGTCGCCATGATTTGTTCTGACTGCTGCTCGTCGGGCCTGCTTTTCTGCACCGTCCACGTGCAAGAACGCAACAGGTATCACACCTAATGTTAGTCCAAGGCAAAGCGCAGCAGCTATAAGAGGAGACCACCACATTCTCATGTTCAAGCGACGCATCAGCTTTCTCAACAATGCAGGTGACCCGACCTCCCAGAACTACATCAACAGGCTCTGGTCACACCCTCCTCGGCGCGGGCCGACACGCTGGTGGCTTCTGCCTCTCACTAATTGAGGTTCAATGGTGGCCAAAAAAAATAACCTGGGTCGCAGCCCAAGCATTTCTAGTTATATGTGGGTCTCCAGCGAGGGCATGGTCCCACTTAAGAAGCTAGACGTACCGCCTTTTACGTGCAGGCCGGCCGATTCCCACGTCTTTTGTTGATCCTCACTACGCCTTCCTCGTGATGCACCCTCGACATGCTAGTGGTACGTTTTTTCTCACATGCAAGGTTAGGGGTCGACCAGAACCCCCTGGCCACAACTCGGTCAGTTTTTTGCCATGGCGCGCCGATGTCACATTGCTACTGTCTGTTGAACAGACGCGCGCGTGATCTCGGCCATGACGCATCGCTGCGTCAATGCTGCTATTTGCTAAGGTTTGGGTTAAATCTGAAATCGCCTGCGCACAGCACGCGCAGGTTTATACTCAAGTGTTCGCAGACTGTCCTTTTTCTTGTCCCACGGCCGCGCACTCGAGCAAATTGCCCGCGTGCGCGGTCATGGTGTACAAGTTGCACTACCTGTGCAGCAAACGCGCATGACAGCCGCACTTTTTGTATTACCTACGCTGCTCATGTTGGGTGGTGGGGAGGGGTATGATACGGGTGGAGGGGGCGATGGAGGACCACTGGCGATGCGCACCTCTTTGCTTTGACAGTTTGGGGTCAACCAGGAACCTTGCCCACAGCTCGCGCACAATTTGTAGCGTCAGACGGTTTAGAATGCACCAGAAAACCCTGGCCCACAGCAAGGGCACGCTCGCCAAACATAACCCAGGCGCACAGGCCAGTTTGCACGGGCCAGCCTCGCGACATTCGTACTGTCGCACGTACTGGCATCTTGGACTCCAACGGTTCGTGTTGAGCCCGAGCAGAACCTTTTACACGAGAAGCACGTGGGTCCTGGCACCGAAGCGGTTCGGGGTAAACTAAACCAACAAAACAACCTGGGCCGCAACCCAAGAATTGCCACACACACAGCTTGCTTGTTTTCTGACGTGGTGCCTGCCCACGTCGGCAGTTCATTAGAGTCGCTCCATGAACGTACCTCGCTCAGCTTTCGCATGATTTCTTTTTTTTCCGTGTGCCACTCCCCTCTCACATTCACGGTTCGGGGTCAACCAGAAATCTTGGCCCAGAGTTCGGGCGTCTTTTTTGGCCATTACGCGTTGATGCATCATGGTTATTTTGTTTTATGGTGGGGGCTAACCAGAATTTTTTTGCGCACAACATGCGCGTGCCACTCAGTAGTGCGTCGCACTTAGTCTGACCATAGTTGGTTCCAGACTCTTTTTTCATTGAACCTTGACTTCACCGCATCCAGCCACATACAGCCCTTTTTTTCCGCAGCGGGTGCCACATATAAGGCTATGGGTTGGGGAGTGGTAGTATACTTTAGGGTTGGATCGTTGGCGGGTACTCTCATTGGCTACGCTCAGTCACAGTTGCCACCCGCTCCGAGCGGAGAGATTAGCACGTACATCGACCAGTGGAGGCATTTTGCCACTAGTTCTGGTCTGTCGAGTACGTCTATTCCCCGCTCTCTTTCAGCTCTGGCATTGACTGGCCCGGTGTAGCATTCCGTACTTTAAGGTCACGGCCTAAGTTTCGCATACACCTTGCCGTTTTAATGTTCCGCAGCATGTACCCAAAATGCGAGGACATGATGACACACGTTTATTATTATTCGGGGGCTTATCTGATTCAGGTACATGCTGAAGTACCTGGCGGGCGCCTACTATTGTTTCTATTCTAGACGCTTCGCGTATCCCCACCAGCCCGTCCAGAAACGACGCCCAGGCGAGTAGAGGGTCGTCCTGAGGGGCTTTTCGGCGTCTTGGGTGCCTCGGGGGGGCCTCTGTGGGCCGTTCGGGATCCTCTTTGGGGCCTCCTGTGGGCCTCTTGGGGCCTCTTGGGGCCATCTTGGGGCCTTTGAGGGCCTCCTGGGCGCTTCTTGGGGCCATCTTTGCCCCCTCAGGATGTCAAAATGGGGCCTTGGGTGCCTCTGGGGGGTCTCTTGGGGCCTCTTGGGAGTCTCTTGGGGGCCTCCTGGGGGCCTCTTGGGGGGCCTCTTGGGGCCATCTTGGGGCCATCCTGCGGCCTCTTGGGGCATCCTGGGGGCCTCTTGCGGCCATCGTGGAGGAAATCGATCAAAGAAGAGGGGAGCTCTAATTAGCGCTGCCCCCTCAGAAGGCCAAAATGGGGCCAAAACCATAGTCAAATCAATGAGTTTGGCTTCCTCGCCGAGGCCGTTTTGGACGCTCTGACCGCTCCCCGCCCCTCCTGTCCAGGTCAGTGGGGAGGGGGTAGGGGGAGGGGTAAACCCCTCCCCGAAGGGGAAGAGGGAGGGGTGGAAGAGGAAACGCCCTAAACCACCGACGCCCAGAGGGCTGGTGGGATTATTGCTGGAGCCTCTCTTTCTCACCTTTTGCGCGGGGCCCGCCATGTACAATTTGCGCCGAGTCGTCTGAATCCCACCAGCCCTCTGGGCGTCGGTGGTTTAGGGCGTTTCCTCTTCCACCCCTCCCTCTTCCCCTTCGGGGAGGGGTTTACCCCTCCCCCTACCCCCTCCCCACTGACCTGGACAGGAGGGGCGGGGAGCGGTCAGAGCGTCCAAAACGGCCTCGGCGAGGAAGCCAAAATCATTGATTTTACTATGGTTTTGGCCCCATTTTGGCCTTCTGAGGGGGCAGCGCTAATTAGAGCTCCCCTCTTCTTTGATCGATTTCCTCCACGATGGCCGCAAGAGGCCCCCAGGATGCCCCAAGAGGCCGCAGGATGGCCCCAAGATGGCCCCACGAGGCCCCCCAAGAGGCCCCCAGGAGGCCCCCAAGAGACCCCCAAGAGGCCCCAAGAGACCCCCCAGAGGCACCCAAGGTGCTCCCAGAGGCCTTTTTACTATGGTTTGGGCACCATTTTGGCCTTCTGAGGGGGCAAAGATGGCCCCAAGAAGCGCCCAGGAGGCCCCCAAAGGCCCCAAGATGGCCCCAAGAGGCCCCAAGAGGCCCCCAGGAGGCCTCAAAGAGGATCCCGAACGGCCCACAGAGGCCCAAGACGCCGAAAAGCCCCTCGGGACGACCCTCTACTCGCCTGGGCGTCGTTTCTGGACGGGCTGGTGGGGATACGCGAAGCGTCTAGAATTTCATTGTTGTCGCAAGGACGCCGCAGTCGCTGACTCAGGTATGGACAAAAAGAGGAGGAGGAGAAGGAGGAGGAGGAGAAGGCGGAGGAGGAGAAGGAGGAGGAGGAGGAGAAGGAGGAGGAGGAGGAGAAGAAGGAGGAGGAGGAGGAGAAGGAGGGGGAAGAGGACGAGGAGGAGGAGGAGGAAAAAGAGGAGGAGAGGCGGAGGAGGAGAGAAACGGAGAGGAGGGGCGATGCGAGAGGGTAAAGGGAGAGAGGCAAGAAAGGGAAAAAGCAGGAGGAGGCGGAGGACGAGGAGGTAGAGGCAAACCTCCCGCCTCCTCCGCCTCCGTAGAACATCCTGCTCCACCCTGCTTCCCTTCTCTCCCGCCTCGGCGCCCCTCCCTTTTCCTTCCTTCGCTTCGCCCGCCGTCCCGTCCTCCCCCTCCCCATTTTCTCCCTCCGCCCTGCCTCTTTCGTTACCCCCCCCTCCTCCTCCTCCTCCCCTCCTCCTCCTCCTCCTCCTCCTCCTCCTCCTCCTCCTCCTCCTCCCCTCCTCCTCCTCCTCCTCCTCCTCCTCCTCCTCCTCCTCCTCCTCCTCCTCCTCCCTCCCCTCCCCCCCCTCCCCCTCCCCCTCCCCCTCCCCCTCCCCCTCCCCCTCCCCCTCCCCTCCCCCTCCCCCTCCCCTCCTCCTCCTCCCCTCCTCCTCCTTCTCCTCTTCCCTCCTCTTCACCCCTCGTCCTGGACCTCCGGTCAGCCCGCCCACCGCAGGCCAAGGTCCTGGCACCGCTGGCGGCGGCGGGCAACGGCGACTCGCCGCCGGGGCTCAGGCTCGCTGTCTTTCGGGCGAAGAGAACTATGCACATGCACCGATCCTGACGACGCCCATCCTTGACCCAGGATCGGTGCATATACCTTCCTGGCCAAGGTAAGAGGGCGTATGCACCGATCCTGGGCTCAGGATGGTCCTGGCAGAATCGGTGTATGTGCATAGGCATAGTTCTCTGTCCTCTAGACTCTAGTCTTGCGCAACTGAGTCCGGTACGATCGAAGTGGGTACGGAAAGGCTTACTGCGGAGACTGACAGCAGATCCCGTCTTTTCCCCAACCCTCCTTGGTTGGGTATTCGTTTTGAATAGAGCACTGCGGTCTCCACTTCTCCTTCCGCCTCCCGTCTCCCGCTCCCCTCTTGTCTCCTCCTGCTTTGTGCGGACCTCGCCGTCCCTGGGGGGCTGCGATCTGCGAAACTGTCGCCACTTGCGAGGGCTGCTGGTGGGTCCTGTGGAGTGAGGCACCGCATGGATCTGGGGTGACCTCGCCGTCCCTGGGGGGCTGCGATCTGCGACATTGTCGCCACTTTGGAGGGCTGCCAGTGGGTCCTGCGGACTGAGGCACCGCGGGGATCCGAGCGAGACCTCGCCGTCCCTGGGGGGCTGCGATCTGCGAAACTGTCGCCACTTTCGAGGGCTGCCGGTGGGTCCTGCGGAGTGAGGCACCGCGGGGATCTGAGCGAGACCTCGCCGTCCCCAGGGGGCTGTGATCTGCGACACTGTCTCCACTTTCGAGGGCTGCTGGTGGGTCCTGCGGAGTGAGGCACCGCGGGGATCTGAGCGAGACCTCGCCGTGGGTCCTCTGGGGTAGACCTCGCCGTCCCTGGGGGGCTGCGATCTGCGACACTGTCGCCACTTTGGAGGGCTGCCAGTGGGTCCTGCGGACTGAGGCACCGCGGGGATCCGAGCGAGACCTCGCCGTCCATGGGGGGCTGCGATCTGCGACACTGTCGCCACTTTCGAGGGCTGCCGGTGGGTCCTGCGGAGTGAGGCACCGCGGGGATCTGAGCGAGACCTCGCCGTCCCTGGGGGGCTGCGATCTGCGACACTGTCGCCACTTTCGAGGGCTGCCGGTGGGTCCTGCAGAGTGAGGCACCGCGGGGATCTGAGCGAGACCTCGCCGTCCCTGGGGGGCTGCGATCTGCGACACTGTCGCCACTTTGAAGGGCTGCTGGTGGGTCCTGCAGAGTGAGGCACCGCGGGGATCTGAGCGAGACCTCGCCGTCCCTGGGGGGCTGCGATCTGCGACACTGTCTCCACTTTCGAGGGCTGCTGGTGGGTCCTGCGGAGTGAGGCACCGCGGGGACCTGAGCGAGACTTCGCCGTCCCTGGGGGGGGGGGGGGCTGCGTCAGCAACCACTACGAAGCCCTTACATCTTGATCGGGGGCCTGCGAGCCTTCCGACTGCTAGTCGCGAAATCACATGCGTCCATGTTACGTCATCGCCCCCGTTGCAGCAATCCTGATGTACTTGTGCCCGGCACTGCGCAAGGGTTGGGTACGTCGCCGGGGTAATCTGAAGAGGGTTCGCTGTTTGTGTCGCCGCGGGCGTTGCCCACGGAAGGCGCAGGCGCGTGCCCAACAGTGGCCGCTGTCGGACAACACATGCTGCTGGGTGTCGTGCCTATTCTCTCTGTAGCCTTTTCGGGCATGCCAATGGGTCGCTCCTCGCCGGGTTCGCTCTCATCTTCCTGCAGCTCGTTTTCGCCCCCCTGCCCTTCCTCCTCCGCGTCCTTTTTTCTGTCCCCTTCCCTTCTCGTTCTCGTTCCCCCCCACCCGTTCTTGCACCTCCTCAGTCGAAAGCCTACCGCTTCTTCATGGCGACGCCTTCCCAAACGGCTTCTTCCGAGGCGATGTCTTCTTGGCGACTCTTTCCGGAAGAGCTCTTCAGGGCGATTTCTTCCGAAGGTGATTTTTTTCCGAGGCGACTTATTATGGGCCCTTTCTTGTGGACGATTTTTTCCGGCCGATTGTTGTCCGAAGGTGAGTCTTTCCGATGCGACTATATAGGCTTACGCCACATCCGCCGACCCCTTGAATGAGTCGGGCACATTATGCTTGGGACTCTGACCCGCGAATCAACATGACTGTTGCGTCCTGACAACCTCTGGGGCTTCACCACCGCGAATCAACGTGATTGCTGTGTCCTGGTAATCCGAAGTCGCACCAGAACACCATTTCTGGGACTGCAACCGTAAGAATCTTTGGAACTGCTAAATAATTGTATGACGACTGTGCGCGGCGCTATGGCGAGAGTCACATTTTGAAGACCACCCGCCCTCCATCGTTGAAACCGTTGCGAGCTTTGAAGACGAATGTGAGCGGCGCAGCGGTTGCATATTTCAACTTCAGGGTCATAAATCGTGAGGAGGTCTCTTGCGAAACGCCTGGCCCGCCCTACCGACTCGTCGTGAGGTGTAACAGGGAGGATGTAGTTAGAAGGAAAGATATGGAGGAGGAGGTGCAGGAGGAGGCAGAGGAAAAGGAAGAGGAACCGAAGCAAGAGGGAACATGTTGACCTGGTCTCGCAGCCCTCCAGAGCCGTGCAGGACACTTCTGCCCCTCCCCCGAAAGCATGTTGTCACCTGGACTTTGAACTCTGCCATGGCTTCCGGTCCATTCCGGCATGGTTATCTCGGAGGCGCAGAGAAAGCACCGCGGAGTTGGGGTGAGATTGTGTCGGAGGTGTGCGAGTGGAAAAGAGAAATCAGTAATGCGAGTGAGCGCAGAGGAAGCGAACCGCAAGAGGAAAGCGAAGGCGGAAGCGATCCTGCGGACGTGCGCGGCTTGCGGAGATTCATTCGCAGACGCGAAACACCGAAAGACGGAACAGAAGCGCGTGGCGTGCGCGGATTGCGCGCGCCTGGGTTTCACGGCGCGCAGTTGGCGGGCGTATCAGTGCCGCGGCCCGTGCCAGAAGAAATTGCCGAAGTCGGCGTTCTCCGTGGCCAGTAGCCACGTCGTTCGCGACGAAAAAATGGGCACCCTGAAGTGCAAGGCGTGCAGATGATGCATATGCGGATGGCCAGTTGTGGAGTCGAATCAACAGTGGCGCTACACGCGCTGAGCTCGGTGGAAAGCGGACGAAACCAAGGAAATGGAGAAAGCTGAGAAGGAGGGGGTGGATGTGGAGGAGGAGGAGGAGGAGGAGGAGGAGGAGGAGGAGGAGGAGGAGGAGGAGGAGGAGGAGGCGGGGAGAGCGAGCAGAAGGGTCAGGCGCAGGAGGAGGTGGAGGAAAAGGCAGAGGAGCAGAGGTAAGAGGGAACATTTTGACCTGGTCTCGCAGCCCTCCAGATCCGCGCAGGACAATTCTGCCCCTCCCCCGAAAGCACGTTGTCACCCGGACGGTGAAATCTGCCATGGTTTCCGGTCCATCTTGGCATGGTCTTCGGATGGCGGGTGGGGCAGGTATCGGTCAAAACACCACAGGAGTGGTTATCGAAGACGCCTACGGCCAATCACCGCCTCCCCCTGCCTTTTTGGAAGCGCCTATGTGGCCGAACGCTGAGGCCAGACCTGCCAAGCTATCGGACCATGTGTTCCCCGAATCGGTTTGGAAAGCCTTCAGGGAACACGTGGGCATCTTGAAGGTCATCTTGGCCACCTGGAGGCCATTTGACCCTTTTTCGGGCCTTCTTGGAGGAGGTCTTGGAGGGCTCTTGGGCCGTCTTGGAGGCCATCTTGAGCGTCTTGGAGGCCTCTTGGGGCCGTCTTGGGGGCCTCTTGGGCCGTCTTGGGCCTCTTGGGCGATCTTTGGGGGCACTTGGGCCGTCTCGGGCCGTCGGAAGGCCGAACAAAAAGCAAATGCCACAAGCCTTCAAAAACCCTAAGGAAATCAATGATTTTGGCCTTTTCGGGCCTTCCTGGAGGCCCTCTTGGAGGCCTCTTGGGCCGTCTTGGGCCATCTTAGTGCCATCTTCGGCCGTCTTGGTGGGCCCCTGGCCCGTCCGACGCCGTCGGAAGCCGTTGGGGGGGCCCCATTGACCCGACTTGGGGCCCTCTTGGGAATGCTCCCATCTTGGGCGTCTAAAAAGCTTCCTGGGCCGTCTTGGGGGCCTCCTGGGCCGTCTTGGGGGCCTCTTGGGCCGTTCTGGGGCCATCTTGGAGGCTTCTTGGGCGTGTTTTGGGCGATCTTTGGGGGCTCTTGGGCCGTATCGGGCCGTCGGAAGGCCGAAACGAAGCAAATGTCAAAATCCTTCAGAAACCTAAGGGAAATCAATGATTTTGGCCTTTTCGGGCCTTCCTGGAGGCCCTCTTGGAGGCCTCTTGGGCCGTCTTGGGCCAGCTTCGAGCCAACTTCGGCCATCTTGGTGGGCTCCTGGTCCGTCTGACGCCGCTGGAAGCCGTTTGGGGGGCATTTCTGGGCCGACTTGGGGCCTTCTTGGGGTGCTCCAGGGCCGTCTTAGAGGCCATCTTGGGCGTCTTGGAGGCCTCCTGGGCCGTCTTGGGGGCTGTCTTGGGGGCCTCTTGGGCAGTCCTGAGGCCATCTTGGAGGCCTCTTGGGCGCTGTGGGGGCGATCTTGGGGGCCGCTTGGGCTGTCTTGGGTCGTCGGAAAGCAGAGAAAAAGCGAAAACCAACATCCTTCAAAAACCTAAGGGAAATCAATGATTTTGGCCTCTTCGGGCCCTCCTGGAGGACCTCTTGGAGGCCTCTTGGGCCGTCTTGAAGGCCTCTGGGGGGCCGTCTTCGGCCGTCTTGGACTCTCTTGGAGGCCTTCTTGGACCATCTTGGGCGGACTTGGAAGCCATCTTGGAGGCCATCTTGGGCCAACGTGGCCACCTTGGAGGCCATCTTGGGCCATCTTGGAATTGAGCTCCTTTCCGGGTGGCCGGCGGGACGCGCCCCAGGGGGAGTTCTTTTGGAAAAGAACCAAAACCAAAACCGAGGGGGTTCAGCACGCCGGGCACCCCTGTGGCAAGCCAACAGGGGGCGGCGGATCGAATGGCCTTCAGTGCATGACGCCACCGTGCCTGGGTTGCGGGTCAAAGGACAATCGGAT